AACGTATAATACAGATGATATGTGTGTCATTTGGGAAACTACAATAATGGGATCTTCCTTTTTCCCAATACGTTTTCTTCTCTATCTGATTAATTTCATACTTGAGAGGTAACTTTCATCTCCTGATAGTATTTTCATAAGCCGTTTTTATAGTTAATTATTTTACTACAAACAAAAATTTGCTACAAACTGTTGTGACAACCATATTAATACATAAAATGCCTTAAGGTTTCGAAGCGTCCGCCATTTAGCGTTGGTGACCTGGTAATCTATTGATTTGTTAAGCTGTCATCACTCCACAAATGTTACCGTATCGTACCATATATAGTGAAGCTTGTTATACTGTTTGACGGTATGATATGTTCTTATTATGTTACACTATGGATCGTCTGCAACTGTATTACTTTATGTTGCACTGTGCTGGATTAATAACTTCAATCTCTGATATTGCTCATGACGCTTTTTGTACTTCAGGTTCGCATTTTCTTTCATACTCTTGCAATCATGATTATGGGCATCTGAAAATGACAACGACGCGCCGAAATCCGAAAGCAGATCGCTATCAGAACTGCTTAAGACTTCCTTCCCTGCCTTCGTAAAACTTTGGACTCGGACGACGGCAGAAAGGATATCTGAACAACAAATACAAGGTCAAAAACAAGCAAATAAAATTGCTTTCGTTCCGCGATAGCTGAACATTGCAATAGCGTACCCAAAAATAACTGGCACAAACTATGCAATACTGTCCTTTTCAAAGCAACAGTGAAGAAAAAAGAAGATGATATTGGTATCTACGAGGGCCGAGTGCACTAGTCCTTGGTTTAACTAGACCGAAATCTTACGCTTAACACACGCACTACGATTGAAGTAGCCCGCCTCATCGATTTCTATTACAGTATTATAGTAAGGATCAGATGAATTGTACTCATCAGAATTCGTGCACTCGAATGACTACCTTTATGGCGTTTCTGTGTTTAGCGTGACGATGATGACCATTATCGTCACAATCGTGCTCACCATCCTCGTTATATATATATATATATATATATATACGCGTACTATCTAAAAAGGTCTAACGAGGGCTAACAAAACCTCATGTGCATTTTATATATATACAGTATAAATCAGACTGAAGTCGTATCAGGCTGATTCAAATGGCCTGAACTTCCCGCCAGAGCAAGTAGCATGAACACTCCTTCATCGAAGTAAGTAGAGAGATTGATCTATTTTCCGAGCCTGAATTGCCAGAATCCACCATACGCACGACGCTATTCTTTAGTGCTCGAAAAAAAATACGTTTTACGGTGGACTAGCGCTCATAATGGGCGTAGTCATGCTCGACTGCTCGACGTGTCACAACGATCAACGTGTTCCTTGAAGCCCTAGCAAACACGACAACAACAATACGACGATAATAACTACGCTAAAAATGGGGCAAACACAAAAAAGGATGTCGTAGTAATCTAAATTTCTCGGAATTTTAATCTGGCTAGTAATCGTATGTAATCGTTGTGTAACGGTGTCACAAACAATATTTCGCATTATAAACTTAACAGCTCTCGTTTGAGCCGGCGTCAGCAGGCGTTCATAATTAGTTCAGAAACAATACTTGACCTTACGAGAAAACTGGACCGTCTGTATTTCTAGCACCGAACTCGTCCAACCGAAGAAGGGATCGCTACGAAATTCAGTCAATTTTTATTATTTCTACCGAAGTCATTTTTGCTGAACTGTTCTAATTCATTCTATCTGCAATTTCCTTCTATTCCCCTAGTCGCTGCCACTGCTATATATTAGAATAGTTCTATTTAGCAATCGAAATTCTCGGTGCACTAACAACACGATGTGCCAGGTAAAAAAAATTATTGTTCGATTTTTTGTTGTTATAGACATTCGTGGCAGCCAAATGGCGAACGATGGACACACAAGAATCGGATAAAAAAAGCTCAATAACAACAGATGAATACCAAATTCAATAACTGTCGAAAGTAAATTTAGTGTAGAGCTATTGAAGTAGCATTATATAAACATTAATCAGACCGCCATTTTGAAATTTAATTACACACTAATTAATGTATTCGTCCAATAAAATCAGGCACCCCCGCCCGTTAGCCGTTGACGCCAAGAGTAAACAAGGGCTCACCAGCTTGGCATAGATTCGCTTAAAATATTTGAACGGAAAGGACTGCAGCCACCGAGAGGTTGGGTAAAAGGATCAGTAGTGCCACAAAACGTCTATCATATATATGTATGTGTAATAATATTAATTCGGTTAAAAAGAGTAAGTATCTCTTATCAATAGGTCACTTAGTACAGTCTGGTAATGATCATCAACAACGACTAAAGGTTGACGACGAAAGGCTCCAGTTTTCATTAAGATGTTGTCAGAGGAGTAACAACAGACCTGCAAATATCGTTGCCCTCATGGCTTGTAATGGCTCAACGCGAAAGGCAAAACCACCGCTCGTCTACGTGGTGAAAGCACTATTATTGCATTTACCATATGTTACCATTGCTAATCCATTTTGTCGAATAGTCAGTATTTTATATTTTTATTTGGACTGCGTTCTTCATTATTATCATGATTTTTGTGATACTCAACGCAGCGTTGAAAATTGTAGCTTATCCGATACCCAAATAAATATTTCGAGCAAATGGAAGGTCTCTGCGTGCACAGCGCTATGACTTGTGGAAAGAGGCCGGTCGGACGAAGTCGAAGGTAACACAAGTCTGTAGTAAACGGGAACCGCGGCCTTAAAACCGCAGGGACTACCAGATGAGAGAACAAGCTATAGCAAAGAAACGGATTTTCAACGACAAAAATTACTGCTAAGAGAAGTAGCTTTGTAGCTAGTTACATTATTGCTCCCTTTTGCCACTGGTGCTACACAGAACAAGATCATTTACAGATGAAGGGGAAATCGACAAAAATCGTTCGCCCCTTTTTTAATGGCCTTTGAGTTAGTAAATAAACCCAGATAGGAAATGTTCAAGTTCACAGAACAAACAGCCATGGGCAAGTTTACATTGCGTGGCAACCAATGCATGATTGAATTTCTAAATCGTGAGTCTGGTGATCACTTTTTTAACAATATTATGCTAAACGATACCAATTCCAATACTGTGTTTTCTGTGTATCAAGCTTTGTTCAAGCTGTCATCGACAAACGTAAGGTGTTATTCCTAACCCTATTGATGGTGACGAATATACCAAGCGACACTTAGAACCTCTATCTTTATAGTCCACACATTTTGCTCCAATTCGATGTGTAAATATCGTAAATTTATTGAAGCGCGCCGGCTATACAGGAGATACTAGTGTATAACGGAACGCCCATCTATCGTCGTACTTTGAACCGATCGGCGCCAAACGGCCACGAGAACGATTGTGTTATCTACGCCTACTGAGTGACGCTTCGTCGCAATGCCGCTGGCGTGTTATTGCGGAACTGCGGTCAGGATAACCGTGCATACGCAATACAACGTGCAGCAGTGCAGCCGTTGATGCGAAAGTCCCAAAGCGGTCCGACCACTCAGACTAAGTCAAGGACATAATCTGAAAATACCAACAGGAACAACTAATTGGCCATGTAAAGACCGTCAATATAACGAAGCGTGAGTGAGATGCTAGCTGACAAACGCAGTGGATTATTTGTTATTTTTTTGCTATTTGTTGAATCGATGCCGTTTTTGAGATAATATATATTAACCACCGAAACTTAATGCCTTTTGCGGGTCACTGTCGTCTATGAGGTAGGTATTAGCTCGTTGAGAAGTCGAATAGAATTGGTTATTGGCTACCATAAATTTGCTTATTTTGTTCAGCGGATCTGCTCAATGGCAAAACCGGATGTAAACCTTGATACAGTTATTTATATGGCTGATCTCGTTCTGGTTGCTGTGTATCCTATAGTATACTTCAGTGTGAATTATGAGAGGCGCTCGGTCTATGCAACGTTACATATACTATTTCTTTAGTATTAGGGTCGATTCCACCCTTGTCTACTTCGAGAAATTGAACGACAGCCATTCGTACGTTTCTTCTGATCAATCGTAGACATTATTCAATAACAAGGATAAATATAGATATATCAGTTTTAAACATTCTTTGTTTCTGGTATAAAAACGTGGCAATCGAAATCATCCTAATGCTTCATTTTTATTTCGATCTTTCCGCTATTAAAGCACACTAATGTTAATGGGTCGAAAGCCGTTTGGGCTCTATGTTGAACAAGCGAGAGACAGCATGTCTCTGACGCGTTTAACATGTTTCAACTTAATGTGGCGTTTCGAGTATCACCACGAAATCGCCGGCTAACACCCAACAAAAACGTCTCTAGCTATAACACAAGTGAAACACTGCATTCGTACATATTTCAATTACTATTCAAAAACGTAAATGCTCCGATCTATTTTTCTCGTTCTTGTCGGCTATTGTAAGTGATAAAATGTCGTTTCCGGCCAAGTGTGTCGCTATGATCCGATACTACTAACGAATAGATGGGTTCGTACGCAAAGCTGCAAAATTTTAGGTACAAGCTCCATCCTACAAATAAAGCTAACAAACTAACGAACAATACAGCCTAGGAGCTATTACCTGTGTCACAGACCCGGGAGATCCGATGTACGTGCTCTCATTGATGGTACAGCGTGCTAAATATCGATACGCTTGGGAAATCAGCCATTTCGTTAATTCATATTAGTACTACTTAGCTGTGCACGCTCCCCTCAATAATCGTTTAGATTTATACAATCGTGTAGGATAAAGAGCGAACTAGCGTTGCACGTAACAATCGTTCACTGCTTTACGTGAGGAAAATTCCCGATTTCAAAAAACACTAAAGTAGTTCTATTAAACTATCGTACAATATATGGTTATAAAGTTGTATGGTATAAAGTTAAGAATATGGCCACAATACCGTAATCATGTTTCTAACTTCATAAGAGCACGAATTCACGATTGACTGGACGCTTTTAGACTGCATAACCTATATGTACATATATCGTCGTCGTCGTCGTCGTCGTCGCCATATTCAGTCGATCTACGCCCGTATCTTCGGACCATATCGATCGTCCTATCATGTTCCGTCGATATATGTTATGGGCCAATAGTGTCGGGCGATTTGTCAAGCCGCCATCAAAACACTTCGTTTGTCGAAGCACCAACGACCGCTAACAGTCATCAGGGCCTTCACCAATATTTCAACGGTTTGGACGTCCGCTCATCTTTCAGTTATTAAGGGATGATCTCGGTGATAGCGATGCTACCGCTAATTGTATTAGAGTTTAATAAAAGTTGACAATACCGCCATGATGTACGAAGATCTTAGCCGCTGAATATTCGACCGATGCTACCGCCAACGATGTTTGTTACAGTTGTTGCTATTGCTTTTGTTGTGTTGTCTGCTAATATTGTCGCCGCCGCCGCCGCCGTCATCATCGATGCTTATGGCAATGCTGTGTCTACTAATGAATCATCATCCACCAGCTTTGGCACATGCATCATTCGCGCACCTATCTACCATTGCTGCTATTCACGTATTGACACATCACGTTGGCAAGCAAATGCTGAATTGATCGAAAACGAAGGCGGTAGCGACGTATTGGTTGTTGGCGTCAACCGTACGGCAGATGAGATATCGTCTACTTGGGGCTGATCGACCTGCAAACAATTCACGTGAGACTTGTCGCTTCGTTTTCAACATTTTCAACGTTTCGAATTAGAAAAAGATGGGGAACAATAACAGAAGGAATCGAATCTTAGCTAATGGAAGATCGGTACGCGTGTCGGACGATATGAAACCCGTAATTTTGTGTTAGTTAATCACCAGTGTTGTAGAAGAATAGTTAAACAAGATCGGCAGCGTACCGAAAGTTAAAACTAGATATGAATCCATCTCAATAATAACATACAAACATCTGTGATTGTATGTGTATTGCCAGATTAAAAATAGATCTATTTGTTGAGGACTTTGTTTTCAAACATAAGCTTCATTTTTTTGGTAACATTTGAGATGATTTCTCAGTTTGTCGCGGGAGTAACGTGTATATAAAATGTGGTAAAAACCCAGTCAAGTCGATCTACAACTCGGACAAACTGATAATAATATGCAGGATACTATAACGAATCTGGTTTATCATCACTACTAAATATATCGAATTTAAAGAAAGGTGGTCGCTCTCGTGTTACCTCAGGGTCTATCAGTCTCTCTCTCAAGTCTTCGGGGCAACTGACCTAATACAAACTAATAAATACCATTACCAAAGGCTCAAAAACTGATCCGAGCGTTCACCGCCAGCAATAGCAAAAACAAACGGAAAAATGGCGTGCCCAGAGTCAAAGGTCGTAGCAGTTTCAACACTAACGAAATCCTTTTAGAGTCACAGTTTCCGGATTAATCTCACCTACAGTAATTTTAGCTACGAGTAGCTGTGGAAACAACGATGTCGTCCTATCGCGCAACACAGGCCGTGAGCAAGGACAACAATAAAAACTGCCACAATGTCGTCTGTGCGTTTCTCTGTTGTTATTGCTACCGCTGATAGCTGAGCTAACGATCGTTTGACCTCCTCCCCCCATCGTGCAGTAATCGTGTGTTAGAACAGGCTGTCAGCATATCTACTGCCCCTCCCAAAGTGATCAGGGAGGCTATGATGCTGCTGGTGCAAACGCATCTGTTGTTACTAGTTGCCGGTCATCGTGCTTTGTTTGGATGAAGCAGTAGTCCACTTAATCGTAGCTGTCACCGAAACTGGTGAGGCTGAAGTTTACGCAAAAGTATAATCGCAATTCGGTACTGTTGTCATTATCATCGCTGCTATGTGATTGCGATAAGACAAACAAAGGCTATCACAAAGGCATATCCCATCTCGTGGCTCTTTTTTGTTGCTGTTGTTTGTAACTTCAGCCAGTCTTTGCCCCTCTTTGCATTGCCACTTCGATATAAGCAGACTTGCGGCTGGAAGCAGCGGTGGCAACCGTCACATTGCTTAAACTATTAGCCCCGGCACCAGCAGCGTCAAAGATTGTAGCAATAGAACATCGCTACATTTGCTGCGTTTCGCCGTTCCCCTAGCGGACTTCGTAGCGACTTCGACGCGCTACATTGGCGCAGTCTACTTTCGTGTGGTTAAGCTAGACAGCAGCCAGCTAGTGGAGGGTCGGGCTGATAGACAAACGCGTACACACTAAGAAATGATGCGACGCACAGAGATAGAGAAACTGGCAGTTTTGTAGTCGTGTAATTGATGCAGATACTGGTTTGTCTGCTGTGACTGCTTACCGATGACCCTAGTTCGCGCTGGTCTTGTTAATCATGGACAGCGATCTTTGGACTTAGTCGTCATTTGGTTGCTGCTTGCTTACTCGCAAGCTCACGAAAAAGAACGTAGCGATGACCTACTGAAAACATCACTTTGAGGGGTGGTGCCAGCGGACAGTCGAGTCAACAGTAGATAACGGTTACCCCAGCAATAGCACCAATAGTAGTTTAATTTGTTGTAAATGCCAGCAGACGCTCACTGAAAAAGGGCCAAGTCCTTGAAGCGACTCGCGCAGAAGGAGGTGCCATACGATCAAAAGGCTGAATGGAGCCAGCACAAAGCCACGCGATGCGCGCAAATGCTCTCTATTCTATGTAGCTTGACCGTTTCAATTTCCTGCTAGCATGCCCCACTTTCTTCTGCTATTAACCACAGGCCCAAAAAAAAGCCACGGATCTGGATGACATTTCAGTGAGAGTCACACATCGGGATAGCGTTACGCTGATATACCTGCCTATGATTTGATGTAAAAGACATCGTAAGCAAACCAAAACACGTTCCGTTACAGCGTACAGCCGCGGTATTGTTGCGTTCGCCGTGTTCCTCGCCGCCTTCGGATGAGTAGGCCGAGAATTTAAGGTCCTGGGTAATGGGCGGAGGGGTATGCGACTGACAACATTTCATTGAAGCTAATCGTCTTCTATTTATCGAAAACATAGGTATGGCCTGCACGTCAGTCAGCCCAGCCAAGATAGTTTGCGACAATGCTTAGCCAGGTCGATATTATTAGGGTTAGTTAACGTTGCTTATTTACGTGTAGTTCGGGAATGGTAACAAATGAAAACAGTTTATAAATATTGTCGATAGATATTAAGTGAAGTGATATTACAGGATCGTACTATTATGTTGATTCTCATGCTTCTCACCAAGTGCTCTTGACAGACAAAAAAAAACATGTGGGTTTTTATTGTCCCTACGGTGATTTGAAATAAAGGCTGCCCTAAAAAGCAACTGCCAATCGAATAAGCATCAAAGTTATTATTATTATTATCAGTAGTAATAATAGGGTCGGCCATGCCTCACATCTCAGCCTTTATAGCTGGTGATCTGGTAAATCTTGCCAAAAATAATAGCCGGTCCTGTACCCGCCATCAGCGCCTACACTCCCCTTTGCGAGTATTTTTGAGCAGCACGCCGAGGAACGTGCCGTGCCAAACAGAGATTCGAGCCCTTAACGACGCCAAACAATAATGATGATGGCTTAGTTCATCAAAAATAAAACGCTTTAAAGTGCTAAGCACGGTGACGATCGTTTATCCTAAACCCTGGGGTGGCAATTTCTCGTTTTTTCCACGCACAAATCATATGCGTCGTGAAACGTCCTTACATCATGTCATTATATTCCATATATAAATACGATTGCGTCACATTGTTCCAGTGTAATTAGGTGGGTCTGCTATATATGTGTGTGTATGTATGATACGCGTGTCTTTTCTATTCCTGTAACATTTCACGTTTATGCAATGAATGTTAGCAGCTGCGCTAAATGACCAAATTAGATAGCATCCTGACACTTGTAGAGTACATTTCGGGTAACGACAATAACAGACAAATAAGAAGAGCTATAATTGAAGCACTTCGAATGAGGCTGGATGTGCTGAGATAAGATAGGAGCTCGATGCTGATGATGCTCCTTGGCTCCTTGTGGCTAGAGAAAAAGAAATGGTGTCCCGCGTAACAATATTTCGTGACATTTTGTTTCATCTTCATTTGTCTCTCGTCATTCATTTCATAACCTTTATAATCATAATTCGCTTAAAAATTCTTTAAAGGTTGGCCAGCACCCAGTCGACTGATACTGAAACCTGGTGATAGATGCCGGGTTGATGAGATTGCGCGCATCCAAAACCTGCTGATGTGATACCGACGATCGTCCAGCGACCGTTTAGAAATAGTGTCATAGGACCACCAGAGTCACCGACGCACGCATCGCGTTTGCCCTCCTTGTAGCCGGCGCACATCATCTCTGGGTATATCTTGATATGGATGCCCCGTAGTTGATGCCACCGTTCGCATTCTAACCGCGTTATAATTGGCACCTGGACCTTCTGGAGGACCCGGGTACCATAGCGGTTGTTGAGCGAGGCGTCGGTTTTGCCCCAGCCCGTAACTGTAGCTCGCCATCCCTCGAAAGTCCATCCGCGCGGAGGCAGGCAAACCGGCAAGATGTTCTCCTGATAATGAATATAACGATCGAGCTTTAGCAGTGCGACGTCGAATCGATCTGGCTGCGATGCTGAGAAAGCAAAGTTCGGATGTATCTTCTTCTGAGCGACTCGGAATGTCCGCGCTGACGAACTGCGCGAGTACCTCGACGCTTGAATGTCGTAGGCGCCGAGTACGACGCTGATTCGCCGAAGCGGATTGAGGTGAACGCAGTGAGCGGCAGTGATCACGTAGTGATGGCTGACTAGTGCTCCGCCACACTGCTGTCGACCGATCTTGATGTGGGCCTGCCACGGAAACTCACCGAAGTGAGCGTCATCCCCTCCAATGATTCGACGCTGTAGCTTTTTGTGGCTGCTAGTTTGGCCACAGACGGCATCGTCGTCAAAGCCACTTTCAATCACGCGCTCCGTCTCAACGCCGACACCCGGTGTTCCAAAACCTCCAGACATTGGCAGTGCATTCGCTGAGCCCAGCACGGAACTCAGGTCAAAGCTCGGGGAACTCCGTGTTGTTACCGGTTTATAGCAGCACGTATAAAAAATCGAACTGCCACAACGTCCACCGGCTTGGCCCCCCGCCACGACACAGTACAGCACCAGCATGCACTCGCCATCCTCCGCAAGGCTCGGGCCTGATGAGCAGGCGCCATACTGTTTCCGCACAAAGGATCGACCTGTAAGGATATGATCGTCGTTTTGTTTGACATCTTGGCGTCGATCAGGCTGGTAGTCGCGATCCGTAGATGACTCGAGTTCGGGATGCGATATTTCGACAAAGCTAAGGTTGCTTGGATGATAGACGTTCGGTATAAAGCGGGGGGTTGAGATAACGCCTTCAGCCGATTCAGCTACGGACAACAGTAGTAACACGTTGAAACTGACAATCAGACTAGAACACGCTGCAGATATGACTAGAAGCAATAAGCGGCACGTCGTAGATTGTACTGCGGCTGATCCGCCTGCACTCCGCCATCTGCTGCATTTCATGTTGAACGGTGGGGCTCAATGACGAACACAGTCTTACTCCAATCACTAGATGAATACATCATCTGTTGTATCTATACATTGGTAACACAATGGCAGAGCTACACGTCGGCACGCAGGGAAAAGCGGGGTAGAAAAGACGTAAGCAGGATCACGTTCTCACAAACTCGATCATAGAGGCACAAAAAACAACATTCACAGCAAGATATGATATGACGCGCGCACACTGATCGAAATGGGCTGTCTAATCCAGAGTGAATTCTAGACGAAAATTTATCCACGGTATTGTTGCATAGTATCCTTAGATGAAGAAGCGACTGCACCTAAAGATCGTTGTACACGTTGGGGATTAAACCTCGTATACAAACCTTTCAAAAATTACTTTAACTGCAGTCCCAAATAATCCTGATATTGAAAGCACGCCAAAACAGAACAAATCTTTATAATGGATTCCTTTGACGGGTGACACAATATCCGTTAAAGCACAAAAGAAGGAAGATTGATTACAACGTACTATTGTGCGTCCGGGTAAAAAAATCACCCAAATTACATTTTTGCATCACTACTGCTTAGCTCTCGTTGCGGATTTGCTCGTTTCGACTCGTTAGCAGAGCTATAAAAACAACACATACAGTATTGGAGTACTCGGGATGAACTAAAAGATAGGCACGAACTCAACGACGATGACAGGAGAAATCACGAGCACACAAACGATACGACAACAGCTTGAGCAAATGCTAGGTTTCCATAATAATATCTATTAATTGACAAAACATCCAGTTACCGCAATGATTAGCACCATCATAACCTCCGCCGTCTTGCTTATCAAAACAAGATTAGCGAAGAACGACGACAGAACTGCACAGGTACGTCACGATGCGTAAACGATGACAACGAACCACTATTACGATCTGACGACGAAGTCTACTGCTGCGATTGTTGTTACAGCTGCAATTCAGCGGGGGCAGTGGTTTTCGGTAGCTTGTGGCACTCGGCGTCGATCGTGCGCCAACTGCTCGTATTCCGCTGCAAATTACTGCGAAGCAACGGTGATCGCAGCTGCCCGCGACAGCGACCAGGACTCCCCCTCGCGGCGGGAAAGGGCAACGACTAGCCGTTGCTTAAGGTGCTTAAGACCTGCCAGACAGTGGCAGCAGCAGCATCTGGGGCAAACACCAACTAAACAAGGAATAAATGGGAGGGCTGAAGTCTTTTTTTCTTCTTTTCTCTGGTCGATCGTCGACCGAGAAGACAACTTCTGCATTAGATGTATGACTAAACAGCGCACTATCATCACCAGTAGCACAACTCCATCTCATGTTGAGTCTTCGTCGTGCATGGTGACAGCGCAACAAGAGTTCGTAGAGTTCGGCGTATCATCAGGCAAATCACAGTAAGCCAAAAGTGGGGGTAACTGCATAAACCGGGGATTACTTGTCGTCTTTGCAACAGATCCACTCCATGGCAGTAGTACTAACAGCAGTACTAATGTTGCGGTATCATACAAAGGTAGGGTCAATGCGGGAGAAGCGATGTTATCGTCTCGAACCGCGCTGGGGACCAGTTACTACGGTGGCGATCCTATTTACAGTGAGGACAATAGTAATATTGTTTAATTCTGACAAATCGTGATCGTTGTTGCTTTGGCCGTTACTGTCGTCGGAAATGGGGTTATGTAGCTCAAGCCTGTAAACAGATATACAGTGGTCTCACTGGAGACGATGGTTCTTCACGACGGATGACTACACGAAAAAATAGCTAAGGGCTGGTACAGAATGGGTATCTTGGTATCGTTTTATTATTGGTTGGTTTAGGGTCAAATCACTGCACAAATAGAGAATGAACTAAGCGATATTTCGACGGCCCAGTTAAACGCTGGACTGTTTATCTTGAAGCAGTGACTGCCTTCCGGGCAGTTACTGCCTTTCACGGAGGGAAACACAGAAAGCGTTGATTTCCTAGCGCATTTGCCTCTGTAGGTCCCAAACAAATATTTACCGAATTGTTGATCTTAAAAGAGGTAGCTACTAACGGAGTTCAGAACACTGGATTGTTTATGACAGTCATTAATTTCATTGTGCACTTAATATAGATAGTTTTTGTTATTTTAAATTAATGGAGGTATTTAGAATGCTAAGTGTATGTTGACAACATGCTTGTCGTTTTAAAAAAAATGCACTTAATTCCAAGTTTTCTCAAAAATCCTACGTCTGTATGAGTTGCAGTACCATTTTTGCTAAAGAAGTGCATCGTTCACTCCTAATTATACCTAATTGTTAAAACAATAATCATAATCTCAGTTAGTGTGGGTCCGAAAAAGAACGAGCTCCGTGTAGTTGGGCCTTATAATGGGAAATTTTATAGTAGATCAAAATCGCGAGATTTACAATTGATTGTTTAGAATAGAATTTCTTGAATTACCTGAATGCGCTGAAGCTTAAGAAGCCTCTAAGAAGCTAACACCACCTTTTCATGACTCTTTTTCTTTATGATCACCGATATTATTAACGAAACGTCGTTTGTCTGGTACGCATAATCCATTCAATAGGGTCGCAAAAACATTTATTTTTCTGTTAATGTAGATCAAGCAAATCTGATATCTAGATAATACAGTACTAATGATTGTAAGATATCTCGACATCTAGGAAGGATAAACACGTTGAACGTTCAATAATACGTTGTTTTGACTTTATAAGCTTTATGCTAATTTCATTAATGTAACAACTTGGATTGGGGCAAATACCCTGGTCCTCAATGGGTCTGTAAAGGATGACATTACTTCCATAAGGGTTTGTTCCAGATTGAGTCATCTGTTCTTATACGTTTCGATACTGGTATTCAACTTCTCTGTTCAAATAGATTTGATCTACAGAATCACCCGAATAACTAGACAAGTTCAACTTTGCGGATCTATTGTCATGCAGATTTCCTGCGGCGAATAATGAATAACACGGATGCAACTTCAGGAATTTAACTTCTAGCTGTACCCCCATTTGAACGAAGGGAGAGAGCTCTTCAGTTAGTGTAAAAGTTAATTGGCAGTTCAGCAAAAAAAAGCACTTAAAACACGAAAATGTAACGTTGAAGAAGAAACGTGCAAGGTCCGTAATAACTAAGAACTCAGTTGGCTTTACATCTGAATGGTAAGTTCAATTTAATTTAAACAAGCGTATTTCTTCACTTTATAACAAATGTAACAATTGCTCAATCAATTTTTGAAGTTCAAGGCGAAACCTGTGAAATCTGATAGAAGGTAAAAGCCGAATCATAAATTTATGGATGGCAATACTTATCTATTGGTAATCTGCCTGGACGGAGCGATTTATCGAGATTACGTTTAAATAGAGGCTTATAGCAGGGCTACCAGCAGCCAGTGGCACCACACCCGACGTGAATCGAAGCCATAGAAAAAAAAAAAAGGGTTTTTATGCACATGATACATATTGGATTCTGTTTATGACGCGACCTTTAATAGTCTTAAATATCAACTTCGAGTGAAAAATTTCGAGCCGGCAGTTTTCTGTTTGTTAGAGTGTACCGTTCCCGAGACACAATCAAGCTGCTAAAATCAATTATATGTTGGCCTAGTTACTTATACACCAAAGGCCCCTAAACAGGTAAACAATGTACGTAACTGTATTTGTTGATAAAATGTTAATATCTACTTGATTCAGAAGAAGCGAACACGCAAAATCACTATTATGAATGATTTATTTATTTTACATTAAATATTCTCATCAAACTATATCCGTATTATCATTGCAGTAGCAGATAGTGTGCGTCTCCGATAACAGCGGTTGAACCTTTGCAGTATCTACTAATCAAGAAATTATATAACAATTAGGCCGGCATCCATCTCTTCGTAAAAGGTATCATTTTTTTCAGTCCTTTTACTGGTTATTCGTTTGCCCTGGGGCGACTATACGTTGCTAAGTACATAAAACATAAGCGAAAACTGAGCCTATTTAAAAATGATTGCTCTTGGATACCTGTTCAACCGCCGATCGGAGCCACCGTTCCTGAGCTATTCGCACTCATTCGAAAAGTCCATATTCGAAAAGTAACCTCGGCTGACTGAAGGGTAAAGAATCAGAAAGAAAACCCCAGACTCTGCACTGGCAAATAATGCGAAAGACCGCTTACGGGGATATTTTTAGACAAAACGCACGACGATTTTCACGCTTTAGGCAGCCGCGTAAATCTTCTTTTAAAAAAAACCGTAATCGAGGAGTGAGCCGAAGCGGCTTAGTAGATGACCGCTTTCGTATGAAATAGCCCGTGATATAAAGTTAACAAGAAATTTGAAAAACCCTTCTCAAACGGATATTGTTGCCGCTATACAGGTTTCGAAAGAATCTTACCAAACAAAAAAGTTACGCTGCGATCACAGCAGACAAGGGAAGCGTTAGGGGGTCGATATAAATCAACTGATGTAAGCCGGATGACAAATAATCGATCGCCCTAAAGATTGAAACTATGGAGTACATATGTAGTCTAGCACAGCGCCGGCCATAAATTGCGCATCGACGCTCCGAACCTAATAGGTACGTTATGTCCGCAAAAACTGGTGAAGTCGTCCGACCGAGCACGGCTAATAGATATAATGTATATAATCCACATAGGAAGGTCATTAGGAAAAGTTTATATATGTACACAACTAAAAGCTATCGATCAAGACGGAAAGAGTCAAGGAGTCCGTCTACCTAAATACCATTGTGGGAGGAGGCATGCACATACTGATATTTACACAAGCAGCGTAATCTATAATATGATAAAGATATTTATTTATCGATGACAGATTTTGCTGTTTATAGGAATAATATCGTCATTATCGGAAGATTATAATCAATTGTCCACCGGTCAAAGAGGAATCAAAAACACTTCATTAGTTTTCTAACAATTGCACTGACCCATTCGTGTTCCTTACTCGTCGTTCGTAGTTATTCTTAAGCAGTGGCACATTCAGCAGGCAGCGCGAGTGAGCGTGATCGCACATATTATAGACTGAGAGTCTCTTTTCATACCCATTAAAATTTACTACCATTGTTAGAACACAAATGTCTATCGTGTTGTTGTTGATGGTAAATAAGCAATTGCAAATACTTTTAAAGGACTGCTTATTATACAGACCTACGTATATAGGTAGCACAATTGCGTCGTGCAAAGACCGAAATCTTGAACTGGAAGTTATAGGCATTCTTCAACAAACATTGACGTGGTACTAGTTAGTGATTAGGTCTGTGACAAATGGAGAGAAAAAAGAAAAGGCATAACATGTCTGTGGTCTTCAAGTCTGATTTAAAAATTGAACCACAAATAATTAACTTCGACGCCCTAGATGTGTCAGGAGGAAATAGACATACACGAATGAAGTAGCGACAGCTTTAGTAAAAACTATTTTTAGAATTAATTCACGTCAGAACTAATTTAAAGGTTATTTTGCACATGAATATTCCTCTGACGAGATTTTGTACTATTTAATTTCATTTACATTGACTCTTATTCGAGGACTGTTTCAGTTAGCTAGAACTTTGGAAACTGGTGCTGGTCAAAGTAGTGGATACGTGTTTGTTTAAATGATATGGAAAAATTTGAGCAACCTCCCTTTATACTCATTCGCTCCACGGCGACATCTAGAGTTGACGTTCTAAGCCGCTAGACCATGTCAGAAATGACAGAACGTCCTAGTATGAACAGGGTAAAATGCCATAAAAAGCATAAAAACATATTGTTGATTCGCTAAAGCGTAGATTTTGATGCCTAATGGGCCATCTGCCAAGTAGCAATTAGGACATGAAACCGGTCATCGATTGTACAGAACTCTATCTCTGTCACAGTCGCTTGCGTCGTATGAATATGTATCTTTCATCATATATTGTGTATGGGTAGCATCCGTTTGCCATTTACTGTTGTTGCGAACAATATTGAAATGGTAGTTCAGCAGTTGAGTGGGAAGTTCCCATATGCAGCAAAATACCCCAACGTCCGCGCACCTATTGAGGGGCATTTCCGTAGCATTCCGTTTTCTGCTAATTGTATTTGCTTCTGTTAGCAGCTCTCAAGTGGATCGTTTTTACTAACTTAAGACGTGTTCAATTTTCCTGGTTTTCCTCTACGACAAACCCTCATTATCACGAATTTCTCGGTGCAGTATCAGGCATAAACCACATATACACGGCGTTTTAACGTTTCAGATTCAAAAAAATGTCTAACACGTAACTAAACACGTTTCTTCTTTCAAGCAAAAGTACCGATATAAGCGCGAGTTTATCCGTGTCTAGCTTTAGCCGCGTTTGCTCAACGCACACAACGTACCAGTATCCCTAGTTTGGTATGAAAATAAATCCTGACTGACTGAACACACCACTATGTGGTTGACTTTAATTTTGAAATAACTAGAGATACGGTAAATGTTTACGATTTTTGCGGAAATTTGAATCTAACTTATGATTCTTGATTGCATCCCTAAGCATAATCCATTCATTAAATATTAGTGAACTTCGCTGTCTTTCACAACAATAACTACTCCTGTTGTAGGAGTTTTGATAGCGTGGTTCGATCCACCGGTCTGCTCCGAATGGCGTGCACGAATGCTGCTTGGAAATTTCATTCGGTGTGCCTCATTGGCAGCATGCCAGATAGCAAAGATGAGAGCCGCCGAAGCTGCGCTCCGTCACCATCTCTTGGGAATTCGCCTGTCAGGGCAAAACACAGACAAACGAAAACGTGACAAAAACCGGCCAACAACTCATATATATTACGTGCAATTCATTGAATTTTCCTCGAAAAGCTTACATTCTAATGGGTCTAGGTTTATATTATACATTATTCGCATTCTCACATTTGGTGTCTCATTGAGCTTGCCCGAACGATCGACCGCCCTCCCGCCCTATTTTAATAGCTGCTTACCATGAGGCGGTACGGTCTGATCGACAGCGGGTCCATGTGGTGGCCCCTGTGACCGGCGAGGATTTAGCCATGACGTATGCGTGGGCGGCTGCCCAGAATCGGGAAATACCGGCGGCAGACCCAGCGGGAGCTTATTAGATCCAGGGAAAACCGGAAGAGATCGCGGCGATTCCGACTCGGACTCCGATGAGCTCTCACTGTCGTCGCTACTGAAAGTCATATCTGCGTTTGAGATGATCAAAATGGAAGCTAAACAAAGACGACCGTTGCGTGCCACGTCAATGTCCACATTACTACGCTTTGATAGTATAGTCGTAAACCATGAGATTTTACATAAAGTGATATAAAATAAAAGCCAGCACGTAAACCTGTGTCACAGGCTCAGCAGGTTGCATTTGACCGGTATTATGTCCTTGCCAGCAGGTGCAAAATCTCGTACAGAATATCGATCAAATACATGAATGAGTCAAACATGTATTCATTATATTTTCTAACGGTGTGTGTATTACGTTAATGTAAGAAGTTGTAATGAGAGCCGAGTAGGTGTTGCTAGGGGTTCATTAGGCTGCGTCCTACCTAGCAAGGGCCGCTGAAAACTGATCGTCGTTAGCTGCACGGAAGTCAACCATTCCCGACGGGGAGCCTGTCGCTGATGCATTCAGGGGTGGAAGCGATAAGGCCAAGGGGCCCAGCTCGTTTGCGCCATCTCCCAGCTCTCCTAAAACCCCCAGCGGTTCGCGGGCAAATAAGCCACCACTACCAACTAAAAAATGTTAAGGTTAAAGTTAAAAACACAGTTAATTTTTAGCTATTCGAAGAGTGCTTTGAGACATGTTACTTTAAGGTTACAACCTTCTAACTTTTTGACACATACGTTAAACAAATATCTACAGAAACTTAAAAAACATGATAGCCCGTTTATCGCTAAAGTAAGTACTTCTAAGAATCATAGAGTAACCTGGGGAGTTCAAAATTTGCCTTGCGATTATCGAATTATTAGAAAGTAATGGCCGAAGTCTGACAATAGCAGTACGTGGTTGAAATAATAATGATAAGCCTAATTGAGATTAACACGAGAGTGTATCATTATTAATAATTCTGTTTTCCCTACCTGAGGATCTCACGGAGAGATGCTGGCTAGGCTGATGCAATGCGCTTGAGCCGCCTTTAGACCTGCGGCGTAGCAAATGTGGGCTACTCCATCGATTCCATATGCAAGAAAAAAATAATCAAAAAATATCATTAAAATAAAAACATAAATCTATTATGGGTAAATGGCATTTGATCCAAAGGTGCTGCTTTTCTTTTTTTGCCGCTTTTAGACGTCGTTATGCAGAAACGTCGAGGTGAGACTACCTGTCAATATGTTTTGGAGTATAAGATTTATAATAAAATTGACATCTTAAATTAGCCAGTGCATCTCATGGCATCGGATTATAGATCACCCAATAGAAACATCTTCAATGATTACGCTTACGGTATATGACAGGAGATCTATTCAAAGACTTCTAAAACTGCTATGTTTTGGCGTTAATTAAGTTGGCTGTGAGCTAGATAAGTCATTTTTTTTAAAACCCTTTTCAGCATACTGGTAGCCATTACAATTTAACCAAAAGGGCTGTAGTTTCTATTAAGCCGAAGCAGAAGTCTTAACGCGTCTTATCCTTATACGGATTCTTGGATATACTACAATAAGGCTACGAGAACAAATAGCCTACGTCAGCGTTTGCCCTAGAAATGGATTTACGGGTGGATAGATTGCATGATGTGTTACAAAGAGGAAATTAAATGAGGAGGAGAGGCTTAACTTTCAGCAAACGTGGTCTGTTCTTCGCCGACTGAAAAGACGTCGAAATCCTCTCTTATTCAGACAGGTTCTTTAGAGACAGCTTTTGATTAACGATAGCGTCAAAAACCCTTCTCCTAATACACCATATCTGCATGCACTGCTGAGATGCCTTTCGTTTGGGGAAACTGTTGAAGGAAGTACATTGTACACAGGGAAACAGGAGGTGGACATACGGCTACTTCTCGCGGAAAAATAATTAATTTGTCTCATTACTTAGGTATTTTTCAATATAAAGTAAAAGTTCCCAAACAGCATTTACGTTCGGTTTGTGTGAATGGGCTCTTCCAAGCATATATGGTTTCTGGCCAGTGGATATCTAGATATTTTTTTCTACCTGGATGGAGCCTGGCCAGCGTGTCGCTGCATGTGCGTTTTGAGGTTCCCTTTCTGCGAGAAGGTCTTCCCACACAGCAAGCATGGGAAGCGGTCATCTTTATTATGCGTGCGCAAATGAGTTTGCATGTTGCCCTTCTGCGAGAAGCATTTTCCTGTAATTCGATAAGACGCAAAAATACAACAAGTCAATCGGTGGGGCAACAGAAACTGGCAACGTCTTTTTTTATATAAAGACGTTGTGGAAGTTTTTAGTTGTTGGGTCGCCTACGGATTATGTCCACGCGTCTGTTCCGTCTCAGTTCAAAACAAAATGGGTTTCCGGTTGGTTTTGAAGTTTCGCCACCGTGTGTCCTTTAGCTTAAAAAAACAAACGCTATACTCGCTGTACTGTCACGACGACACAGATTTTCACCTCTTATATGAGTGTATATACCGAGCATGCAAAGAATGATTCAAAACTATTGCTAGTATAATGAAATTGGAGATCAGGGTGGTAGGAAGGTGAGGACTGTAGTTTACAATGATATAAATTATGTTCTAATCTCTTCCCTCTTGGAATTTAATTGTGCCGCGTTCGACCGACGCGAGTGAAGGCTATAGAACTTATCCATACACAAGATTTGCTCGCTGTTGAGACGTTATAGTTGTATATAAACAGCTTCATAATGACTATAACATATCGCAACATCGATAACGATTATCAATTTACCCGTCACGATAATCAAATTGATTGTGCATCGCTTTGTTATGCAAATTATTGCATGAGCCTAGAAGCGCTTGAACGTACCGCAGACCCCGCAGGCGAAGGGCTTTTCCTTAGTGTGCACGCTGCGGACGTGCGTCTTCAGGTTCCCTTTCCGGGCAAAGCGCTTCCCACAGCTGTCACAGCCGTAGTCCTGCGCAAATGACGACAATAAAATAATTTGCCATTAGAAAGATAATCGTCGAATGTGGCTTGTTCTGTATTCGACGGCCGTATCTGCTGCTCTAGATTTATTTAGATACTATATATATGATTCGAAATGTTATAGACACTGTAATTGTAAGGTCGCTATCTACCGCTACTGTCAATATCGTACATCAATTAAATGGACAATGTGATAAAGCTCTAACGAGTGGCAATTATGTTTTAGCTAAACTGAAGTTTTTTTTTCGTGCTTACAAATGGTCTGATTGATTTTGATGATGTTCGTGGCATTAAAAGCCATCTCATTAATCGAACTGCTCCATTAAACGAAATAACAATGGCTAATTTATCCTTACGATTTCTGAATAAGAATAATAGTAGACGCCCTGCTCCTTTAATTCTATATTTATAACCTCGTTGCTCGATGCGACAGATACTGAAAGCATAGCGATTTTTCATTAAAGCGAAAATTTTAAAGCGACACGAATATACCAAGCCATAAATTTTACGTGGAATCTTTTCTAATCAATTTGAGGTGCATCTAGCAAGAAAAAAATAATCTAAATCTAAAGGGTCCATGATAGTCCCGTTTCCCTTTACAGATTGACCATTATCAAACACACACGGAAATGGTCGCTTTAACTGATGTCAGATCTAATATTAGAAACAATTAAGGGAGTGTAAAAGAATATGCGTTTAACAACGGATCTTCTCCGTACGACAGTATCTTATCAAATGATAATGGAAATTAGGTTTGTACACAAGCAAATAAGCCAAGGCTACCAAAGTTTAGAAGAGTTCTGTATAGTCAGTTAATCTACTTACTAACAAATCTGAGCCGCTTTTCTTCCCAGTTCTGGCACCCGAATGTGGCCGAGACAACGGATTATCGAGGCTGATATAGGGGACCTTAAAGACAAAATGAATAATAAAAAGCAAAAGGCCGAACGCATTCTAAGTAAACAGTTCGTGGAAGTGGCAGAACGTCAAATAGTTTCATCTTGTTTCATGACACAGGATATGTCCTGGACTACTCTTATATAATATCTCTTCTCTTCATTTGTTTTGGTCATAACGAGGCTCGTGCTCCAGATACGGGGCCTTATTGGGGCTTGGGGAACAACCCAAGAGGAAAAGGGGCTACTAAGGGCCAGACTCTCCCAAGAAGCTTAACACTGGGTACAATTCAGTGAATAGGCTGTACTCGATTGTTTTCTCACCCTTAAAAGAGCCATACGTAAAATTTGCGGCCTGGCAATTCGCGTAGACACGTGTGTCTTTATTTGCTTTACGGTGGCATTATAGAGTGTTTAAATGGAGACCTGTCATGGTTGTGTCCCTCTATTCCAGGAGCAGGCGTGATAGAGGACTTATTGAAGTGCATCTAACAATATAACAGATAATGGAAGTTTTAACAGATAATAGAAATTTCATCTTTCTATACCTTTTCACCGGTGTGTATTTTCATGTGAGTGTCGACGTTCCCTTTTTGCGTGAAACTCCGTCCGCAGACATGACATGAGTACGGTTTCTCCCCCGTGTGAATCATCATGTGAGTCTTCAGGTTACCTGAGATATCAGCACATGAACAAGCTTTCCGTTACACACAACCGTGACTAATATAACTAATATAACCAAAAGGGCCAAATTATTTCACACACCTTCAGTTTTCACCCTAATCCACGACAACGTGGTAATACTACCGGTCGCTCATTTTTTTTACGGCTTTAATGAACTCAGTTTATTGTTTTATATTGTTACAATTCAGCTTCATACAAAAAGCATTATGTAGACGTAGGTAGCTTACATTCTATTGTTTATTTATTTAATCACACTTTTCGTATAATATATGATATTAGCTGGGCTTTAACTAGCCGCTTAGCCAGAGATACCTTATGAATGAATTATTCTTACCCTTCTGAGTGAAGTATTTGTTGCACATGGGACAGAGAAACTGCTTCTGCGGGCCGCTGGGAGTCGTCACAGTCGTGGCCTGTATGTTTGCCAGACTGTGCCCAAGCGGTGAAGTGGATAAGGGCATGGCTAGCGAAAGCGGTAGACCGCCCTGTTGCCGCGGATGGGCCACAAGTGGCCCCACATTCCCGGCCGACCCGCAGGGGCTGCTCGCGCGCGACGGGGGCCGTGACAATATGGAGTTCGGGCATCCTGCTTGATCGCTCCGGCAACGTGCGCCCTAAAAACCATCACGTATGGAACTAGTCATTCTCACATCACAGACACACACACTCATTTGAGTATGTAGCATTTAAAAACATTATATACATATATATACCGGTCGATCCATTTATGTATGCCTTTTGCTGTTGTGATCAATATCATCATTTGCCTGGTGTTTGCTTACCTCGTTCTCGGCGTCTTGATCTATATCCGGGCGGAAAAGTCTCGCGATGAAGTTGTCAGTACATCGATGACAACAGCAGTTGCGGTCGAATTCACGATGTTCGGGATAATCGGTGTCTGGCTCGGGATCCTGATCGACATCTTCGTCCTCTGGGTCATCACAATCATCCCTTGCTACCGACGATAAGTCATCATCGTCATTGTTGTCGATCTGATCAACATCATTCGCCACTCCGTCCAGCTGATCTAATCCGAATTGCTTTCCCTGATCTCCAACTTCTGGAGGTCTATCCTGATCTGCAGTATCTGCGGGAGGCCCGGCAGTAGAAGGGTCCACGACCGACTCCTCCGATCTGCTCCGGTCATGTTGCGATGACTGGACGACAAGATCCTGTTCATTTAAGTTGGGACAATTTTCGTCCGTCGGTTGGTCGCTGTCCTCATCATTTTCGCCAGGAGAGTCTCGACCTCCAGGTAACTGCATTGCCCAAACGTACGTTTTATTGTTGCCAGTCTCGTTGGGGATAAGTAAACATAGGGCAAATGAGGTGATTAGAGACAGAGACATTTGCTGTCGTTTCCATCGCATTAACATGATGATGTAGAAGTAATTCCATCACTAGTACATGGGCTGACGATAGATTTACAAATCTGAACTTTATAAAAGTTTGATCGTAGTAAGATCTTTTTCGGAAGTTCATTCTTTAAATGTCGATCGTATAAATTTTCGATACAATTGTATGTTTCCTACAAAAAAACTAGTTTTTGTTCTTATATTTCTCTTTTTGTGGCACGCGATCGAATCGTTTTAAAGCTCACCTGTTGTGAGTAGTTTGCGTAAATGCCACGGGTCTTAGTGCCTCCTGCTGCGCCGGATCGAAGGCTGCAGTTAACCTTGGCTAGGTAACTAGAAGCCGCAAGCAAGTGACCGATTGCCGGCATAGAATGAGGCCTCTTTTTGAGGAACAGCTTTGTCAAACTGCATTGGTAACCTGCAATATACACACGACTAAACTGGTTCAAACTGTTAAAGATTAAAAAGAAAGGAAATCACCTAGCAAACTGAAATGTTACAGATATACATTCATATCTTACAAAGTACATAAGCTGGCCTTAAAGCCTCATTTATGCTACCATCCTAATCCTAACGAAGGCGGTCCCAACTGAAAGACCGGGTTGGTACGTTGAACCTAGATTGGTGCTTTTGACGTAATTGTTTCTTTAAGATGTTCAGTTGGTAGCGACCTTTTTCACTCTAAGCTTACTTTTGCTTGCCGATTTTTCATATGTGTACTCGTTTACGTACCCGGAAAGGCAGAGGGTGTGCTGCTCAGCTTGAGATTCGCAACCCGACAGAGCATCGAACGTGCAGCGGCTCGTCGGATGAAGGCCTCAGCACTGAGCGTCTCCATCGGAACGTTGTTTATTACCACTGCCTCGACGACAATGATGAAATGATGGTGATATCTGGTTGAAGGATTTTTGGAGAGTCTTACAGTCGTTTACCGGTGTTTCTGCAGTAAGCAAACGCGGTCAAATCGTGAGTGGTTTGTTATAACTGTACTGAGCCACTACATATTGTTTTTAATGCTGTGTCTCATCGACATGTTCTAGTACAAACTAAGTAGAATACTTAAATACATGTGTATAATTAAACACTACTACATTTTCAGCCTAGGTAAATCCTAGTAAGAGCCCAGATTTTGAGTACATATATTTAAACCTACAACGTTGCCTCTCGGTGTTCTGGGTGGCAAAGTATAACAGCAAATTTTTTTTTTTGCCACCCAGAACCAATAGTGCCCAGTTGACTTGGCAGTGGCTCCAGTGCTACGGTGTGAAAGATCAGAATATCTAAAAGACTTGCCTTTATCGTATCGGTTGCCACGAAAACAAAAAACGGATGAGTCAGCCGCTAATCGAGTGTTTGCATTATCTTCAAGTCACTTTTATGAAGTGCTTACCACTTACAATGGTAGTATGATGTACATTTTCAAAGTGACGTAAACATGTGGAATCTGTACCTTTAGTAGCTTCACAATTTGAAAGGTAATAACACATTGAGCCGATGAGGCCCAAATAGGTAGAACTGAGTTGACCGCCCATATAGGTGTTATCGATGTTGCTTTAAGTCGAGGACGGTTGCACACGTAGATGCACTATGTTGTCTGCACTATGTTATGACCGTTTCGGCAAGCACAATTCTGCTGATAACAATGACGATGTACCCACAGGATGACATCTCAGCCTTTTCGAAGTAGGATTGCCGAGTGATTTCTGTTTATACTGAGGTAGCTCGATCCTTGGCATAGAACTGCGATGCCAACGCCCGACGTGTACCTCACATGAGCCAACCCATAAGTGTATTCGTCGTTCATACGCTTTCTAAGTCATTCATAGCGTATGTTAAAAGTGGACCTGATGCTGCTTGCCCCCTTTAGAAAACAAGCACCCGCCATCTTGAAAGTTCTGCTACATCGCAGCACAGGCGCAAATCTCTGGTATAATTTTTTTTCAATACGGAGTTTCTATGAATTTATCCGGGTAATTAGCCCTAAGTTGAAAAAATGGTAGGAAAAAAGTCACACCGTTAACTACTCTAGCTAGCATCAGTTTAGTCAGCATCTAAATATGGATGATGGTTCAAATAACATGCATAGCTATTTGCTAGGCTTAAGACCAATATAAGGTCGAGAAGCAATCACAAGGTACCAAAAACTTAATCAGATTCTGATTTCATGGATTGAAACATTGATAAAAAGTCAGTCAAGTCCGTAAGATAAAAAAACATGCTGTATTCTGGAATTCAGGGTAAGGTCACCTCGTACGAATAACGATTTAGGCTTAATGTAAAGACTGAGTCGTTCTTTTGATTCGAAACGGTCCTTCGAGTTTTTAAAAACTCGATTAAAGAGTGCCATCTATTAAGGTTTTCTCTATAATATTAGTTTTCGCATCGAATCTTAATCTTGACGACGTGTTCGTCTATCGATGATCTACTGCCCTGGACATCACACTCGAGAGCAACTTATGGCGTACGCTCAGTACTGGACCTGTTTTTTATCCTGCGCCACTGTTGACAAAACTGCTAATATGACACGATGCATAGGCAAACTACATCTTTCAAAATTAAAACTTCTTAGCTTCAATTTTATATCAGCCAACTCACCGTAGGCGCACGGTTAGAGTGCCCTCCTCGCACTCGATCCACCGGGACCCTGGCTGCGTTCGGACATTCTCCGTAGAGAACCTCCGCTCCACGTCTACGTCAGAAGCTTTCCGTAGATCCAGATCTCCAGCGCGTCGAACGCCCCGTCGTGATGGTGTTGCCCGCCTCCGCCTACAGCCACGCGTAACTGCGGGCCCTTTTGGCGTCGGCACCCACCATATGCACACTTAATAATGACGCACTTCGTCCCGTCAGCCTTCTACGGCAGTCGTTGCGTTCGTTTTAACAAAGTAGCACTTGTAATATGGTAAAGAAAACATGATGGCTTGATTTTGCAGTATCTGCCTCAACGACTCGAAGGAACAAAATTGTGTAGTATATTCGTGTTTTAGGTGGGGCAATCGCTTAACTACGGCTGACGGTGAGGGCCGAAGCGGCTAGTTCGGTCCGCCGTTGGCCATTGCGACCATCCAGCCAAATGAGCGAGATCTATGCAACTCAGTTGATGCGATAGTCCAAAGTGCGATGACGAGGCTACTGCTAAACCGCCACCGCCACCTTCCGAGTTGCCGCCGGCGCGGGGGATTCTCAAAGGATGAAAGACAACGGGAGGGTCAGACGCTGGTCTCTTCGGCCGATCACCCACTCTCTCGATTGCTTGGCGCTAGCTCTTCTGGCTTGTAGCTAACCCTCGTACTCTCCCTCGTCGTCCCTCATCGGAGAAAAAATTCTGAAAAAATCGCGCGCTCCTCCCAAACTCCAGCGCTCCGGGGAGCTCCACGCACACATTCGTAACCACTATAAAGACTGCAGCAGCCAGTCAAGCCACCCAGCCGCCTAAGGCCCGGCAACAACAGGCAACGTAGGCTGCCTATAGGCCTTTCTCTTCCTTTCTCTCTCTACCTGACTCCGTTTGGGTGGGCAACTGAACAAACGCACAGCAACCGTGAGGACAAAGGAATTGCATTTGGGGTGCATATAAACAAGTCTATAGTTAGCTTAATAGTTAGCCACAGAAATGTCGTTTTTGTGAAAAAGGTGGATGACTCTGTTCATTAAATTTTATCTGATACGGTTGTTATCAAATAAATATAATATATTAGATGTTGAAATATAAGCTGAACTTGAAATGGGGGAAAGACTTAAACAAGATTCGCTTATTTATGGGAACGAACGAATACGTCCGTTTTATAGAGAATATCACAGCGGTAAGGTTGTTCTGCTATTTTTTGCCTTCTTTCAGCATTAGTGCTAAATAGTCAAAGAAACGTCCTTCGATATAAAGGCTAGTTCAAGTCTTTGTTGCACATTTTTAATTTCCCTGCGTTTCTCTCACTTCGACAAATATCTAACATAGTACGTTAAGGCGATAAGGCAAAATGCTTATTCTTCCGAAATTAGCGTGCCTGTATCGAGGACAGATATTCGTATAGACATTTTTTCTATTAATTCCATATTAATCTTATGATTTTTCACTATCCCTGGCTAGATACTTATCGATAGCATGATCAGAAGCCCAGTTATGAGGCTTAATCGTTGAACTAAAACATAAGGTTTAAAATCTTTTATAGATTATGAGTAGAACTGCAGTAAAAGGTTGTTTTTAAACTCGGACCGAACAATCCAAGAGTAACGAAAGAGCATTCTCAAGTTTTCTACTTCTACTCGTATTCACAATTGTTTTTACTTAAAAGCAAACTTACTTTTATAATAGTCGCAAAACTGTTTGCAGTTCTGCGGTAAATAACAATACGCGTTTTTCGTTTTTCCTGCTAGCAATTTATTGTACGAGAAGCATCTGTTGAATGGAGTATATTGTAGATCCATTCTTTGGATAATATTTCTTTCGAAACATATCTTCGATAGATATTTGTTATCTATGAAGACATTCACACACAAAAATCATAATTTCAGTTCACTACCTAGTCAACACGACTCCACGATTAACCATTGCCGACCCTCACAGCACTTTCAGCATTTCCCCAATTTTCTAAGTTCCCTGCGCTTTTCTTGTTAAAAAAAAAAAACAAGCAAATCTAGTCGATGCTGCTGCTGTTTTCGAAAGTTGGCCACCCTAATGGCCTCTATGGACATCAATGGTGGGCAGTTGACGACGAAAAAAAATCCTCAAAAAAATGCCAATCAGCACAGGCATCCCACCTCTATACCACCCTCGAGGTGTTTCCTCAGCCTCTTTGTAGGCCTGAGTGGCTGAGCATAGTGACTACCGTATTCCTTTTATTACGACTGTCAGTGTTAGTACGATGCCTTCAGCTGTAGCACGAGCTACTACGAACAGCAGCGCCTAGTATCCCAAGATTTTTTCGTATTTTTTTCGTCCCGGTTCTCTCTGTCCTCGGCTCGAGACTTACGGCGGCCCGCGGATCCAGATCGGAGCAACTATCTCTGTCGTTACGATGGTGCCATAACCTCGCCAATGTATCGCTCGATGAATAGCTAGGGGTTGTCAAAACTGGTTTGGGTGCATGTCTGACGCCGCTACCCGGTCTAAGGCTAAGACAAACGAAATGAGCTGGCCTTCTCTGACTCTCTGTTTAGCTCAGTGCCTCCTTAGCAGGGTACAGTTTCCGACCTCAAAGTGAAATGGTCAACACGATGAAGGGCGAACAGATGAAAAGGCGGCTAGAATATGAGTATAATTGAGGGTGGCCCGATATGTGAGAACACTGTCTAGATAAGCAGTTTGCCCATGTTATGCTGCAGGCGTATTTCTGCTAGTATACATATATATATATATATATATATATATATATATATATATATATATAAATGAGTAAGCGCTACAGATAGTGGGACAAAAAACAAAGAGCAGACTAAAGCAAGATGGCAGTCTATAGCACGATTACAACGAGTATAGGAGTATGCAACAAATGAGCGTTCTATCGCACACCGGCTTAGGTTGTTATAGGAACATGCACCTGTATGCCTATCAGTACTACCGGAGGTTGCGGATAGTTGTATGCGCAACCAAGTTGCTTAGTAGGATTCGCTGCGGTAGAAAAACAGGGCGGGAGTAGCAGAGCGGACATTCGCCTGCAGTGCAGCGGGCTTGCGACGTTTGACTAAGGAGCGTAAGCAACTACGGTAATGGGGTAAAATGAACAAGCGGTAAAGATACGGCAAAGCAGACCGTATGCAGGCTCACAAAACGCATAGCACATGGAAAAATGCTGTTTCATCATAGATTACTATTTAATTAACAGCAAAATCAATTTTAGTACAATGCGTCAATATATTTAATACCCCAATTGCCACACACGCTGATTTTAGTTGCAAATATTGATCCTCGAAGGTATCTGTTATAAAGACTTATTTTCAAACTAATAACTGAATTGATATCTCCAAACATCAATGAGCGCTTTTTTCTTTCTAAAGATTTAATCTACGATCTCAGTACTATATATATATATATATATATATATAGTCAAGGTCAGTGCTTTGGAAAAATGTTTTTTTTTCTGAGTATAAAGGTTCCAGCCCTTTCTCTAATCAACACAAATTTCTTCCTTGTTTTTTTTTTCTAAACGCTTAATTTGTTATGTTTTTCGCTTTATAAATGCATAAATCGTATAAAATATTACTTATAGACATAATGCCATATAAAATTAGATTATCATTGTTTTGTATGCTCAGGTTACTTTCAACCGTTACGCGAACTTCCGTTTAGTACATGTGAACAAGCGCCCAGTTTTAGCAATTCTAAAATGAAAATTATTTGTTTAGAAACTGATTTCGTTGTTTCTGCATTGATTTGTATTATTTTCAGTATACACTTTTTTTCCTATTTGCTTATTACAGAGCGACCACAAAAGATGAAGGCTATGATCTGACGACTTTCACCAGTTCTATAATTTGATTTAAAAGTGCAATCTTAAAAAACATGCACATATTTAGACTAGATGAATCCGCGGGCTTCACTCTTCGCGGGTCTTCTTTATTTAATAAAACTCATCAGTATCAGGTTCAGTCGATACAGACGACGCTTATACTAGGGGACCAGTGACCTTGTAGGATGCCGTAACGAACCGCGTGAAGAATGTGCGGCTAGAAGGCCGAGCGCGCAAACCTTGCTGCTTCTATAGAAATGGAGTATAAAAAGACACCAAAATTAAAAGCTTCGAATTGAATTAATTTATCTCCCGTGCCGGATCATTGATACGGAAGAACGTGTCACCTTAAGCTGGATCGTTGACGTCACAGTCCGCCTAACATTAACTACATATATACATCAATCAGAAAGAGTCTCATTGAAGTGTTTGCACAGGAACGCCGAGTTCGTCGGTTAAGCGCCAACCCATGACTGCGTTTGCGGCGCTGTGTTCAGCAACCTGGCTGTTTTACGCACGTTAAATTGCAAAGCATTCGAATGTCGGATTTCTTTATTCTACCAATCCTTTAAAGTGAGTGGTCGGTACTTACGGGAGGTACATCTCTCGTTTGAGTCCAGAAAAGTTTTGAAAATTGGAGCACATTGTGGCATGTTTACTTAAAAGGAAATAACAGGGGTTTAGACTCGTATAAGGCCGTTCGTAAGTACAAAGCCAAATTATCAACACTATTCTAACAAAGTAAACTTGGTCTACTGTCGAAATGTTCTTGTAATATTGATCTGAATACGATGAAACACTATAGTTTGCCTATTTCAATTAATCCAATCCCTGGCTCCCGTACCGATGTATTTTATCTATTTTAGTAAGCTTTACAAAAATCAACATTTTATACCCAGATCGCTTAGATTATAAAGGTCGCACAAAAACGCCTGTTTGTAGTTGCCTTGTAGGGTTTTATACAGAAAGCCTTAAAAATTCCTGATGCTTATCGAACAAATCGTCAAAAAAGAACAATTTCCTACATCAATGGGAGAAAAAAATAGTCCCAAGGAAATGTATTCGACCATTCGGCACAATCTCACAAGCAGCTTACCCTAGAATGAACGTCTAATGGCCATTAAAGAATCAGGTGTAAACGTCTTGCCGAACCCGTTGGGGTGTACTAGCAAACACGACCATATTTTCTTTCGACCAAAATTTCAATATGCTAGATTAAGCAAAATAGGGTTACAGAACTGTCTTAAGAATTAAACGTCCAATCTATTTCCCAAAATCAGAGTATGCTTAAGGCACTTGATGTTTTTGTATTAATCAGAAAAACGAGCTTTGTCCTGTTCCCGTCAAGTCCCAAATGTATCAAGATCGGAGATCAGTTGAATGCCCTCTGGAATCAACATGGAAGATTCTTTCATATGTCCGACTTTTAAGATAAATATATCTCAACGCGAAACTTTTCCGATAATATACTTTCGAGTTTACGAATGCAATTATATTATCTACAAACAAGTGTATCAGGAGGTCAGGGATAGCGGCACTGTGCTCAACACGTTTAAACGACGATGTCGACCTTAACACCCATCCACTAGTACTGCATAGTCTACAAGAGAAGTTACTCAACCTATTGTCTAACAATACTAACGGAGTGGTTTAAGTTAATTCTACGATGAACTATTCAAAAGTTGACATTTCCTATAGTTAGAATCTGCTGTTACCTGTGAAGCTGTAGATTGCTTGTAGTCAGTGAAATGCTATCGGTCACTAAATTGAATTCTGGCATAAACCTTACTGCAAGTAGGCCCGTAAAAAAATCAAGCTAAGCTAGCGAGAGAAGCCATTTACCGGTGTTAGCAATACCTTATCGGCTTGGCTAACTAAGGGTTTGGTGATAATTTAACGATGTAAACTCTTTAGATTTTCCAGCAAGGTTTCCAATAAAGCCAGTTTCCAATAAAATTTAGCGAAATTTTATTGGATACTGGCTCTAATAAAGCGCTCGGATGTATCAATCAAACTCTGACGTTTCACTAGTTAAGCAAATGCTACAGTTTTTTTCCATTTGGGGGCAAGTTATATATTGTTCATGAAAATCATTTCTACTGTGAGTTTTTTCAAAGCATTTTGACCGATAATTACAATTTGCTGCTAGTCTTAAAAGCAAGGGACAATTTAGCTATGTCAGGCCGGGGGGCCGCCCCAGTAGCATCATTACGAAATTCAGGCGGGGCGGGGGCGGGGGAGGGGGATGCCCCAATAGCATCATTACGAAATTCAAGCTATTGTTATGTTTCAAGTAATATATGATGACAAAAGTACTACGTAGTATAATGTAAGGGCGATGAGATAACTTGGTTTTGTTCCTTTTTTTACGAGCATTTGAGCACAAAATGTAAAAATGCTAATTCATCGTATAATCGAAAGATACATTTTTAATTGGTAAAGTTAGAATACGTTGTCAGATTGATCCGTCCAAAGTGAACTTTATTGTACAACGGAATCATTACGTTTATGATTATTATTTAATTACTGCTTTGGTTATTTTCAATATTAACATTTAACACCACTAACGTTAGTAATATATCTGGGTTTTATTTCTGAATAAACACTATACAGGTGAGGGTCGTCCTTGCGTTTTGCCCCGTGTCCATTTGAGTCAACAGCCCAGCGATAAGTTCTTGTTCAAAACTGCATACAGTTACAAGCAGGACATCATATCTTCTAAAAACAACCTTTATCTTAGTTAACACTATTAAAATATATCAATTATTTTCTCCGAATTCAGATGCGCAGAGCGTGCCATTGCTTCTGCTAATTACTCTCATCTCAAGATACGCTTCGTATAGTGCCGCGAACCCCTTATTTAGACTTGAAATTAAAATCAGCTTGGGCGTAGAGTCTAAAATTGAAATGGAAATATAAACTCTGAAAGACGTCATATGGCTATCAATTGCGAAGGTCCTAGTTGATGCGTATAGGTCCAACAAGTTAAAGAACGCGACATTACTATTTAAGCCAAGGCCCTCGTTTTTGTCCAGGCACACGGCGTTCGAGGCTTTAGCACTGAATTGGCCCTTGTCGACGAATCACGTAACAATCCCTTTCTTCTTATGCAGTACATACGCTTGTAATTAATAAACTATCTGATCAGGTGGAAAAGGCTTCGTTTAAATGAGAGGAAAGCTAATATTCAGACTGGCAAAGACAGTTTCAGTAAGAGGAAAAACAACCCAAAGTCACAGTCAACATAAGGTACTACTCAATATCTAAAACGAAATTGATTCGTACGAGTGTTATAGGCCATATCATGTTTTACGGTATGCGTACGCTGGCTTATTATATCGCTGAGGTGTTTGACTCATTTCAAATTGTAAAATCTTAGATTTATTTTGGAGGTGACTGCCGATTTTCTACGTGCCGTAAACCTTTGCTCAGTGCTTAAGTGGCTCTTGTCTAGTTTGTATGTTCGGCACAGTTAATTGTATATATTTAGGTGGCGTAGTATATTATGTGAACGGGGTGTAATCAAGTGTTATTACTGCAACTAGCTGAGTAATTAAAAATGTTCTATCATTTATTCCGTTTGGCCGTTCATTCTTCGCTTTACAACATTTTATATGTATGTGAATCGCATAAAGTGTTCCGGCCGTTGAGTTCTCTGTTTCTTCGCCGATTGAGCGGGTTCGACACAGATTGTCGACGTCACGAAGGCGCCAGGTAGGCGCAAATGTCGTCAATATATAACCTAATTTGAAATTAAGGCCGTGGGTATAGACTAGTTGCATCAAGGGTATACAGAGGTTGTTGTTGCGGTTATCGAGCCTTTAAAATAATCTAAATCACTCGACGACACGCACTAGCGGTTCGCACTCGTTTATTTGATTGGGTGTACATTGCCCGATAAAAACACAATCTTTTGCTGAGCGCATTACCGTCCTGTTTTTACACGCTTGTCGTACATCATCGATTCATCTACGTATCTATGTTCCGATCTTTGTTTATAACAGATTGCATTTTCTCTACCTTAACCTCATCCTTACCTTATATACCTTATATTAGTGTACCTTATATACTTCAGACTTGGACAGTAATCGCTAACTTCGTATTGATACAGACTCATGCATCCTCAGAAACATTTGCCTTCCGCTACTGAACACCGCGTATATCAGAGCTGCTGCTATTGCTTCCGAGAGGTGCGCCACTGTAGATCTGATCTGAGAAGAAGCTGTGCGTTGAAAGCTGTCGATCAAGAAACGAGGTGGCGTTACCTATTACCTTTCTATTTTGTGAATTACCATTTTACTTTTTCCCTGTACGGGAATAGTGAAATCTGTAATCTATTTTAATTCAGGCAACAGTTTACATAGACCGTAGACAACATCACGACCTTAGCCGAAATCAACTTGGCAGCTCCTTCCGTATACTTTTCGGTGCTTTTAGACGTCATTCGAAGCAACAGCAACTTATTCGTATCTAATTATTTCCTATGTTGATTTAATTATAGTTTTGGTATATTATAACTATCAGTCGTATCACTAAATAGGCTAAAATAACCGTCGATGTTCTATCATTGGTCACGGCGTTTACTACACGCTATCTCAGCACAATTCATGTTAGTATCTCCTTTTATTTATACCATATATTCAAGATCATATGTATAACTAGCAGTACTGTCGTCTTCTTGTATTTTGCTTCATTTTATTACATTTTAGTACATCTTCAAAAAAAAAGTTGCGGCCAGAATGCAATTGTGCCCACTTAATTTATAACCTAGTTTATTCACCGCGAGTTATTGCCCTTCTGCACATTTGCATCCGACCCCTCGTCAGTGGACCTTCAACACATTAGAAACTCTTTTCCTGGCACCGATCTTGGTTATGTCTAGTGATTTTGTCAGGAGACAGGCTTTCATTAACGGCTCATTCAACGTTCCTCCATTTTCGATAGAACCCATACAAGTGGATCCTTTGGCTGCCCGTAACGGTAATCGTGTGCTTAATGCGTCAAGGAAAAGGACCTATCGAGATCAGGATACGTTAAGAATAAACTGCAAGGAAAAATTAAAAGTTAATTACATTGTGACCTGCACAAAGCGGAAACAAGAATGGTACGAATTCGACTAACGACCCACTTTGAAACGCATTTGCCGCTTATCAATGGACAACTAACATGCGGTGGGAAATAACGTGCCGTCGTATTACGTAGGCCGCACCCCCTATTCTGCGAAAAGGCCCACCCAAAAACTCGTCTTATTAGCAAATGCACAGCAGAACGGACCGCTGTAAAACGCAGCATCGTGAGAACTGTTGAGCACGTAGCGACTCAGGCGGTATTCATTTGTGCTGTGAAGATACAGTCTATTTGGCAGCATCGTGATGATATTAACATTGATAAGAAGATGATAACAATAACAATAATGACGAAAGTCTGAATAGAATAACAAAACTAAGTGGCACTAAGAACAAGTGTTTTATGAAGGCAAATCACCAACGTGTCCGTGAATCTATGAGTACATTGAATGTCGTGAGGTAACAAACACAACGACTTGTCCTTACTTTTTTTTATCCGATCCGTACTAGAATAGATCTAGTTTTTTGCTTTGACATCAGATCTGACACGATGTAACACTACATAGGATCAACGTATTCGGCTTGTTCTGTATGCGTAACAGCACCGCTCAATTGACTGTTGGTTCTAGCACGATGATTCTTGCGTAGTTTTACATAATACCAGTAGCTAAATATATGAGCCCATTGGCTTATATAGTTGACTATTGCTAGCTAGAAGATCGATCAGCGCTCGATCTCCAACTTAGAAGTGGTCACGGCCATATAATAGCGGCATTCAAGATGACATTGAACTTACTTAGGTCGCCACTGGTAAAAATATATCGTTACTTGCAAAACAAATGGCGCCTATATTAATCTACATGCATTCTATATAAAATAGTTAATTCTAAGCAATATAACGTGTATATATACGTGTGTGTGTGTGTTAGCGCTATGAAACTAAAATAAATATCACCGTATGAGGCGGCCTCTCGATCATCTCACAAGAGCGATATCGGTATTAGGGCTCACACAGGTCGTGATTGATCACCATGTTCATCTTCACTGAAACGGGCGTCATGCGTAGTAAACGAAGTGATGCTAGTAACTGGTGGGTGATCTTCGACTTCGAGTCCGCTGGCCGGTTCCTGCGCTATAGTATCATTTCCTAACACAGGGAATTGATATGCTGCGCCCCGAAGCTTCATAAGCCCCCAGCTGCCGCTTCGTAATAGACGTGGCTTAGTGATGGCGACTCTTTTCGAACTTAGACAGCAAAACAGAACATAACGAAAAGACCACCTTCATTGTTATAAAAGGACCCACAATAGGAACAACATATCTGTCCAAGGATTTCTAACATTCGTTCGATGCTTAACGTTCTATCTATGTTTATACACGTGTGTTATAGATGCGTACAGATATGAAGGTCGGTGACAGGACAACTCTCAGTGTCATATTCATCGGAACGATAGTGTCATGGTAATAAACATCAAATCTATAACGATACGTAATAGTTATCATTATAATTAATTATCCAAAAACTATATATAATGCATATATAAATAACAGTGTGCACAAGCTCTGGATGGACTTTAAGGACGGCTTTTTGATTCTGTCTGCATTTGTTATTATCACTGTTGTTGTATTTAGTATTTTGTTATTAGCCGAGTGCACAAATGCCATTGCGTGGGTAGTGTAAGAACGTATCTGAAACACAAATTCCATAACTAAACTGGAGACGGCGTCGCCTTTTTGGCAACGAAATTAGAGCGGACGGGCATGTTGTAGCCCATCATTTGCCGGTTATCTCCCGGCAAACGGAAGAAAACCTCATAATATGAATCGTAACGTGTGTCAGCAAAGCACTGATCACTCAGGTAGATATCTGCCCATTTGCCCCACATTTCCTTTTTGGCCTAAACGTGGCCCACATTATCAAACGCAACCGTTTCTATTCCAAAATTGAATTCAGTGTACATATAATGTTATATATTCTTAGATGTCTAGATGACATATAATATCGCTGTATGTGCTTTGTACAATAATGGCGTGGTCGATGAAGAACCGGAGCGTATCTCATATCTTACAGATGTGTCAATCTTCGATAGCAAACAAAACAGACTCGGACCAGTCCTTTCACTGCTGTGATGAACACGTCACTTTTTTAATAACATCTAGTAATAATAATGATCGTGTATTTATATATCAACAATAGGGAGCTCGCTTGTTTCTGTTTACTTATCAATAGGTTGCTATGTTCACGACATGAAGTTATCTTCATTATCATGAGATCATTTATAGCACTGTCTGACATTAATATAAAACGACCTCGTTGTTTCGAGGCTTACATAGCTTTTGCTCAACGCTCTCAAAGATCACACAAATAGATTTTCTCGTACGTCGTCCTAGCGTCGTTTCAGCCCATGGTCAAGTATCGCTTCATGCTACATATTCATCTCATGAATGTGCCACGGTGCGATCATAAACTGCGGTGTGCTTCCTGATATCTTCAACTCAACCATCAGACTTCGGCGGCGTAACCCAGCCGTATTTGTTGTGGGTTTTTACGAGCGATTTAAACGACATTTCAGCCAGTTTTCGAGAGAACTGTTTTGACGCTTTCGGTTGAACGTTGATGCGGGCCTGGCCTTTGGACAACGCCGCCGTGACCTGAACAATAATAGCCTCAACAGTGTATGCTGATGCCCATCCTGCCGGCGTCAACAGTTCGAGACAGATGGCGCCACCTTCCATAACGAAGCCCTTCTCTATGTGCGGTGATAGCACTCGGACGAAAGGTGGTAGAAAGGGGAAGTTGTCGGGAAATTCGAAGCACATTTCGACGCACGGAACACCCAGTTCGAGCATATCGCGCGCCAAGGCGCTTTCAGGGTCCACTTGATGTAACCGAACATACCACTCGAAAAGATTGCTGTCCATTAGCTCGACTGTAAAGGCCTAAGCAGAAGGAAAGTGGAAACGAGCAATCGAAAAATATTAGATTGAGGGGTAGAAAGATCATCTCAACTCCCATTACGGACAACGACGACCGTCACCTCATGCGGCCATCATACGTCTGTTTGCATATTCAACGCGTCGTCCAAACGAAAACCATATAATATTGTAGGACGATGCACGTCCTACAAGAAAAAAACGATACTGAAAAAACACCGACCGGTTAAGCTATCGCACCTATAGATTAATGCTCTCAAGGGGACATTGTCGCTTACCGGATACTTCTGAGAACCAACGATCTTCTGTATGTCCCGGAGCTCCTTCATGAGCCTTTTCGTTCGAACTTCTTCATTCCGTTTGATCGTCTCCTGGAAGGCGCGCCGCGTCTTGGCAGTAGACGTCGGCTGCACTTTGCTGCGGGCTGCCAGCGAAAGAAGCCCGCCGCTTCCGCTTATTGTTCCTTCGTCAGTCTGCTGAGCCCCGATAGAAATTCCGTCTGGATCTGATTGGGCATCTTCAGTTTCGTCGTGGGATGCTATTTCGTCGCCGATATCTGGGTGGCGTTTAGGTTGATTTGCGGAAATCGTACGAGCCGTGTCGTGCTTTGGTGTGGCCGGTCGCTGTTCCGGTTTTGTTGTTTGTCGTAGCTGAAAATCTTTTTGAGAGAGACCTTCGCGCTCCTTTTCAATGCCTTTTCCCTTGTTTTGTTCGTCGTATTCTTCATCGAGTGTGGGCTCCGTGTCAGATTCGCCTTTTGCCTAAAAAGCGTAATCAGCAGATATTCGAGATTTAAGTTATGAAAGCTCATACTTCCTTAGGGATAAAATTTACAAGCAAGTCGTATGCATGACATTATTATTAATTATTTGCTGAAGCTTAGTATAATATTGTTTACCCACTACCATACTTTAAATAATTCGAGTTATAAGACATCGACCCAGTAACTATCAAACTTGTGAATATTGTACGGAATCAATAGAGGACACCACAACTAAAACCTAAGGCTATAAATGCATTATTTAGTTTGCAGTTGTCCTTCCTACATTTCCTTAACGTATTCGATCATAGGTCACCCCTTTGAGAGAGAGAGAGAGAGAGAGAGAGAGAGAGAGAGAGTTCAGGTAGCTATTCGGAAATATTCGAAAAAACCACCGCTAGGGTTTTTTACCCGTATTCGTTTGACCGCGAGTCAAGGCAACTCATTAAGCGGATGCTTCATATTCATTGATTCTTACCTGATCGTTATGCTCTGTTTGAACGTCCCTTCGAGGCGTAGTCGCTATAGGAGCTGGGACTGGAAATCAAGATTAACATTATTTTAGGTGTATCTCTTCAGGACTTCTATTAAACTAAGATTCCTAGAAAACAAAACAAAAGCTAGACTTCATCGTGACAGGCTCGATAGTTTTTGACGGGACAGCGTTCATCAGCAGCTCATTACGATCACTTCGTACTAACGAGAGATGGCAATGGAAATTTGGAAGAATCTATTGCAGGTGCATTTAAAAATGTTATAGAAAAATCACACAAAAAACAAGCCGTACGAGTGATCATATGGATTTATTACTACAAACAAGATAATAAAAATAATCGTATTTGGCTGTCTCAGACGCTATATCAGAGATCCCCGCAACTGCATCTACAGTGTCACAAACACTGAGAGACAAACGTATATATGATAGAGGCTGATAAAATTAATGAGCAAACTATTATTAAATATCTATCTATTTATTATAAACGTTTTGTGTTGAAATATAATAATAATAATAATAATAATAATAAAATAAAATGTGCGCTTTACACTTTTTTGATATTACCAAATGAAATTTCTGCAAAACTTAACTTTTGCTAAAATAAAAAGGTAGAACATTTCAAAGTGCCCCTGTCGTACATGACCAAGAAGAGTAATGCAATTATGGATATCGATGACTCTACTTAGCATCTTGTGGTATGAGCAACGTACCCAAATGACGGGAGTTGTGGAACCTACTCCGTCGTCTCGAAGTATGAAAGAGCTTGTGGACATTTTTAACTTGAAGAAGACGTTGCAGAAGCCGTCGTCGACTACTATGAGGCGAATTCTGCTTAGCGGCACGGATTTGAGCCCCACGAGCGATCTCATCATCGCCTGCCGGAAGAATGGCTGCTGACGCTCCGCCGATCTACACCAAACATGACAAATAGAACAGACAATCAATGGACTATATAAAAAGTAAATAATCCAGAACCTTGGTAGTCATTGAACAATAATGGTAACGGTTGTACTGTTTCTGTGTTTGGTGTAAAGTCATGGATTTGAAGAAACGCTTCGAGGTCAGTATTGATAATTTCAGTTTTTCCTATATTCTCGTATGTTATCAGTTGTATAAGGGCGTTTGTTGTACTTGAAATGTCAGAACCTAGATGCTATCGGGAATTTTTTGGTATTTGCGTATACTTCATTGTTTTTATTAACGTAATGGTTAAAAGAGGACAGGACCACAGATAACTGTTAGACAGAAACTGGACAACTGCAAAATAATGAAACTTACGTATACGGTCTTCGGAAACTTTTTTTCTGTTGGGACTAACCACTCCCCAAACGAATACTCCAAGAACCAATAGCACTAAATCAGCACAATTAAATAGACTGAGTAAGACGAAAATAACGAATCGAATTATGTAACGAAACAGACGCAACGACGTAAACGATTTCCTTGACCAATGCAATAACTTACGTGGAAACTGTCGCAATGACACATAAAAACAACACTCACGAGGATGGTTTTATAGGCTAAGTTATGGCAGCTGCATTAAACTCTCCCTTAGACAGAGTAGCTTTAAAAGGGAAAATAACAGAGTTGTCTGAGCTAACGCCCCACGCATATGTCTAATTTGGGAAAACTAACTGAAGCAATAACTGGGCTTTGGCGTACATTGGACAAATGAAGTTAGGCTGATGTGTGGATTAAGTTAGCGCACGAATATCTGGACCAACTAGTAACACTTAACAAATACTTATCCCACTATTATCTATTAGACTTCTGCAAACTGCAAACGTCTTCCTTCAAAGATATAATTTCTATGTTTTTTTTATTATTTAATTTAAGTTTGCGTGGCCTACTTGCACAATTGAGCTGAGCAGTAAAACAGCAGTAAAACAACTTCTTCGGCAGCTAGCTTCGAAGACTGGCTAAAATTGGCTTTTTTTTGGAGCCGATATTATTAAATGAGTAGCATTGGAAGTCTTCTACGTCATATACGATTATCGCGTCTTGCATCATCCCGTATGCGTAGTACTTTTCTCTCTTCAAGCCTTATAATAGTATATTTTATTATTGGATAATTAAAAGATTGCTTCTTAATGTCTTTACCTTAAGGAGGACTTTTTAACGTGTCCGTGTTTATCATTCAGGTTTCTATCTTCAATCTACGTTGTAGACGGGAAATTATATAAAATCTGTAGGAAAATTTTTGAGAAAAGCATAAGTGTATGATCACGCCACGGTCTATTATATATCAAGGCATGGCTACGCGAATGTCCTTTGGGTGCAAAATGAGCTTTAAACCCAATGCTAAAATTAGGTCTTTTGGGGAAACAAAGATGCCATCATATTTGCTATAGTCTAAGTACAGACGAACATTTTCAAAGCAGGAGTTATTAGAAAATGAAGGACGTTCACAAGTTTGGATACAAGTGTTTTTTTTTTTGTTTTTTTTTCGAACCATTTTATATAGATGTGTTTCGGTTCAATGTATGATTGTTGATCTCATGATTGCTAAAGGGAAATATGGTTACAGGCAGCGTCTCGTAATTGCACATTACAGCTGAACGTCACTCGCTTAATAAATGGTTAGCTTAACAAATCACTCTATGGTTGTCTTTTACCTCGAGATAATAAAGCATGACGAAGATTCGTTGAGAACAGAACTGAATGAGCTATACTCGATACCCCACCAGAAATTTCCTTTATGTCCAGGTGTGTACTTTATGTCACATGTCACTGTGCTCGTTGCGGTGTAGGATATGAAACTCTAAATAAATATCTCCTTTTTTTAACCAAACAGGATAGAGTTGTTTTAAGATGATGGAAAACTCCTATATACAATAGCGAATCTTAGAGTGTACTCTTGCTCGTACGGATATACGTTGCCCCGTTTCCGAGCGCCAAAAGATGATCAAGTCAGAGTCATCAGAAATAACCTTTTCATCAATATGCACTTAATATTCGGTCCTAAAATCAGTTGAAGCATAGAATTAGATAGTCGCTAGAGAGATCTAGTGACCACGACTTTACAAATGGGTTTTTCTCCATTTGTCAAGTTAAGTACAACCTTAAGTACATTGAATCGATTTCATTCCCGGCTCATTCTTAACTCGGGATTATGGCTGAAGTCAGTGTAATGTAAAGCGTCGTGTTTACTTGTGTGTCGGGATAGAAGCGTTTCTGGGCAACACCGATCCTTGCAGATATCTTGTTAGAATGGCTTATCTAGCTTACGTGTGCGCGGTGCACACACTGTTTGTGTTAGTAAGAAGCTGATCGAGTACCATAATATAGGAATATTTTTATAAAATAACGGCGGGGTTCACGTATTGCAGATTTATTCAAGATCTGTAAAAAAAACTAATACTAATCTGCAATGTTAGCACTGGTTTCCGTTAATACTGCTGTTCGGCTCTAGTCAATAACGTCCACAATAGGGTTTATAAGGTGTACAGTTCTATAAAACTAAAATAACGTACATAAAAATAGGTATACAATACGATCTACTGAGAGTGAACATTACTTCGCAAAAAGATCCAATTTAACCGTAATTTGGGATCTGATTAGAGTCTAATCTGCCTTCCCTCTAACTCTAGCTATATTGCCTTGTAATCGGAGTAGGGAAAAATCCGTATTATTTTTAATGGTAAAGAAAGCCATTATCTCTTGGGATTTTTATCGTTAAGGAAATTCGTCTACCAAACCGGCTAAAAATTTTATTATAAAAGCTTTATTTCGGCCTGAAGACCACATCTTCGACAATATATTGCTTTGGTTTACAAAAATTTTTCATTCACATACAAAGGTCTTGCAAAAAAAAAAACAGTACAGTCAGAGAAAATAACATTAAAGTATAAACAAACGTTTGTGGTATTATTTTTGTGTTCTATTGTAGTACCCATTTGACAAATCTTATATTATAAATATGTGATGTAAATAGGGTGGACTCTGCGAATAACCTATCTAAACACGAAAAAATTATATGGCGATATTTGTTTATAGAAGCTGCCGTAGTAGCCGATCTCTGCCCTTAATGACCCCACACTTACAAAATCGATGAAGAGCTACTACTGTCGATCTTTAGTCGATTAGGATGTTTATTATCGAATTTTCTGCTTTTACATATAACTTCATTACAAGCTTCTAATTTTACCGAAACTGCGGTATTGACGCGTAAATTTTAAGAAGCGCACCGACAACATAGACCGTTTACAGGCCTGACTCACAAGATGCGTATTCTAACATGTAAAATTTGTATTTTTTTTACCTTGAACAAATTTCGCGACATTTGAGAGATATCGTTCATATTTAAACATAATTTGATATTGCGCATCATGTTATAAAAAGGAACAACAGAAAATGCAACTCTACAAAGTCACAACGGACGATCCAAGCATATTGTCAACGTTTGTAGAAAACTAATAGAAGGTGATAATATCTCAAAGTAACTGTTTAAGTCTAGCGCCCTATCTATCGATCGACAGAGGGGCGGGGACTTGACATAATTTCAAGGAAATGTTAGGCCGCCATCACCGCGCGGTACGGCCACAGTGTAGACGTTAAGGAATTATGTACCTATATACCTAAGCCGACTGAAAATAATAAGGGAGCAAAGCTCTACCGACAGGGGCAAAAAGAAGCTAAGGCCAACTCCAACTTCCTACAATAGTAATAATAATGTTAATAAGAATCATGCTTTTTCCCCATAGGGTAATTTAAATATTATATGATTTCTGAAAGGATAAGATATTTAGCAATGTCTACAAATAAGCCAACTACGCTCGAATACAAAGCACGGTGGTATTCTCTGACACTGTTCAAACCGTTATCCTCTACCGTAATTAATATAATACCTAAATAAAGTTATGACACGATTAGCTGCTCACCGCTCCTATTCTTCAACATTTAGTATGTTTTACGAGATCTTTAATTAACACAATGGTTTACCTTGTGATGCGTTTTCAATTATATCGATCGACTGTTAGATTTATTTACAGCGGACATAGGCGAAACATTTGACCTGCATAATTTATCTAGATAGGAATTTTGGTAGACGAACAAAGCGTACAAATAATCCTGAGTTCTAGAAAACAGTGTTCATTATTTAATGCCAAACAACCTATGCCACGATCCGATTAGTTACAATTACCAGCATCTACATTGAGGCCTACTCCCCCTCCCCAATCATGTCCAGAGGAAAGGCTCCGTTGTGAAAAGCGATCGAGATATAAAATTTGGCTGCCTCCGTTCCCGACCTAACGCAAATGCTTTCCTACATTTCGTCTACGGACGTCAGGACGCACTGGTAGTAAATACCTGTTCGCTGCGAAGTGTGGCCGGATTGTATTTGGCTTCTGTTGAAGAAGTGAAACGTTCGAGCAGCTGACGCAGAATGAAGCTGCCCATGGCCGCCTAAAGATCGTCCTGTGGCCTCACAAACGAGGCCGAGATCCCCACGCACCCGGAAGCACTTTGCGCACGTTTTTTCTAGTGACACAGAACGTGACAGAGATAACTGCTATTTAGCTTCGTGAACGGTACGGGTCAGGAGCTGTAAACAAGACCAGAAAATATATGACGGGAAGTCGTAAAGGGAGGCTAACGGAGTTTGGTCCGTTCTCCTCACTTGCGGAAAAGGAGATCTTGACATGCACGCAAAACAAGCAGGACACAAGTGGCCCAAAGCATGCAAAAGATACAGGGCCTGAAACATGCCGCCGAAGGCCTGTCAAACGCCGGAAGTCAATTAGCTGTAATAGGTCATGAAGGTGCTAGTAGAAAGGGGAAGTGGCCACGTATGTGAAATCTAAGATGGCTCCGCAGAATGAGCGGACACAGGGATGAAGTGGGCTGGGCTAACACGACTTTATGACCAGATATAACGAAACATATACGAATATCCTGCACCGCTGGACTAGCAATGGTCAGTTGCGGCTGTATCCAATCGCTGAAAATACTGTGAGCATGCGTGGAAACGCAGTCATCATATGTTGGGGACATCGTTTGCGAAGAATATGTACGGCGACGTCTTTTACGGCACGTACGGTATAGTGGAAAAAATACAAGTGGAAATTAGCAAATCAAATTGTTTATCAGAGCTTCCTTGTACGTCAACATTGCTGTAGGCTTTGACTACACAACGTTCCATCGTTGAAATGATTCTTCAGACCCGTTGAGGTATCTGAGAAACCAGAAGGCTATTATAGAATACTATATCAATAAGATATAACTCACAGTTAAGTATTTATACAAAGAGGAGAAAGGGAGGGAGTGCGACGAGGATGAGAAAGTGATGTATGTCACCTGATGCTTTTACGTGGTGAAGCGACTGATTCGGTTCACGGTATGGCACAAGAAAAAAAATCTTCGAGCAGTCGAACCTATTTGGCGCAGTTCTACTCGTATACACATAAACAATTTGTACTGCTGTAAACTCTATGTAAACCGAAACCATAAAATTTCGTGTATCTAGTAGCTATTACAAATGCATTCTGTGTTTCTTTTTTTTTTCAGTCGGAAATCGGCCATAGTTGCAGAAAACGTTCATCATGAACAACACACTGCATGAAGTGGCCAATGTAATTCTGACCCTCTGACTCCTAATTCAAGAAAATCCTGTGAAAAAAGGCTTGCTTTATGCATAGAGCTACAAAAATAATAAGCCATTCGAGGTTGATCAATTTATCCAGTCAGGTGTCAGTAGAAAATAAATGTTAAGAGGTTGGAAGGTGTTTACGGTCTATGAAAAGCGAAGGGCAACACAAAATGCAATGACCCAAGCAGTAGCTTCTGTCTTGCAGCCAAGCGACTTCTGGCGATCGTTTGTTCGCCACACCGACCTCACCAGGCTGTTCCCCACTGGAACGCGCACCAATGTATCTCTTGGCCTTCGCAAGAAGTCTGCGTCACTCGTTCGTGGCCGCCACTAACACTTTAAAAAACACTAGCAGCATCTATCCCGTTGACAATTTCCTGCTTGGTTTGGTATTTACTAGTTATTTGGCTTCGAGTTACCACCGACTGGCTGTAGCCAGCAGCTTTCCTCATACAGCGCTAAGCAAGATGGCGGCGGAGTAGTCGAGGGCGCCAGAAGCGGCCCCTGAGGGGACCCCGAGAGAGAGGGCGAAACCCCGCCGAAAAGGGCATAAGCGTGCACAAACCGCACGTGGCTAGCCAAATGGCCCCAGCCAGCCGGGTAGGGAGGATGAGGCCGCCGATGATAAAACACATCCGCAAACCAGTTGATCGTAACAAAAATAAGAGAACTGACTGACTGACGCTCGGCGAAAATGGGATAATGGTCCTCTGGTTGAGTTTTCTCTAACTCAACCAGAGGACCATTATTTATAGTCTGAAGCGAATCAAACTAGAATACAAGAAGTCCGCTTCTCGACGAGGTCTATGGGACGAAAACGTATTTTGCTATCTCTACTTTCGTCAAAGCTAAGTTCGAACTGCTCGTCATTCCTATGTAATAACAGTGCTCGGGGTGGGATGGCTACTGCGTAAATTTTAGCTTTCGAAGCTGCTTTGTTCCTTTTACAGTGTTGCTGCTAATCATTAGAGAAGTTGAACTAGGTTTCTGGTCCTTGGCCAACCCTCCGTTTGGAGCATCTCCTAGCGTCCGGCTGTGGAGTGTTTTGGACTTCACTATAATGAAAGACATAAAACGTGCTCCCTTAGCCCCATAGTTATTTTTCCAACATGGAAATTTTTTCAAATAAATCAGGGTTACTGATAATCTTAGACATAGACTGGATATTTTGTGGACGTGGTTTCTACTTTGAGCAGACTTAAGAAACACCTGCATAGATTATAGCATACAACACTTTTAACCAATTAATCAAATAGAATGAAAAATCATTACTGCAGCTGAGAAGTATTTTCACTTTCTAAATACACACCTTAATTTCTTTGTTGCAGGACATCAGGCATAAGATGTATAAGCCTGGCGGAATCAAAGTTTTTTTTTTTATAATTTCACGTCCAGTATCGATATTAGGAAATTCGTTTACCCTTAATGTCGAACCTAGTTACCCTACGTTTAATCGGGAAACACGCTATTATTGAATTATTACTTCTGTCTACATTTTTAGTCTAGATATTCGTCTAGTAAAAGCAAGCATTGCGCAATTAGATTAAGTCGATCTATTGATATCAACATAATCGAGAATATATTCGAAGAAATAACTTCCCAAAGTTCAATGACGGGCAAGTTCAATTGAGTACGAAGTATGAGTATGTATGCCAAATGAATCCATCTGCTTAATTATCTTAGTCGAAGTGTTTCCCTGCCATGTTCCGTACATTGAACTGCTACTGCTACGAAACATAACAACCGCAGTAGAACAGGGGGTCACAAATGTCAGTTCCCACAAACTTCTTGGTGCGACTCCGGGCTGTGCTGGAGACTGGTACGAGAGACTGGGCATAATTGGGCAAGAATTCATCCCCCTAACAAAAGTTAACAACATTTAAAGAAGCTGGGATTTGAAGAAATGATGATATTAGTGTAAAGGAAGGTGCTCAAGCTTTCAGATTAATAATACCCAGCTTCGTTTTTATAAAAACGATACAGGGTTATACTAGTTAAGGTGATGTCTTATAATAGTTTTCTATTAAGCAATCATTTATAGATATTTAATAACGTTTGCATTAAACTTCAATGCTTTAAATAAATACTTTTCTTTATTCACTTCAGCGATCCTTAGTGCCGATTTTGATAAGATAAGGATTTTGATTTCTGAAGATAGTTTACTAAAACAACGTGTAAAAAAGGTTGGAATTTTTTCCATCCAAGAATTTTTTGTTGGAGTATTCGTCACGCTATGGACTTGATTTGGCTACATTTACGTCTAGGGTTGTCAACAAAGAAGACTGTGTTGTCTCTACCTGGAAGGTTTTCTTTCGAACTGCTTAGGGTGATACCTAGAGGAAGAAACATAAAACGTCACGGATCACAATCACATGAACGGATCGTTTCGCGTTCACTTTAAACTTATGTATTATTTAGGTTCATCTTATCCTAATCTTACTTAAGTTAGTCCGAAGAGAACAGCATTGGGATTGTCATGGTCGTGTTACTGAGTTTGCCTGGGTTTTTACACTGAAGCGGTTCCAATTATTTAATTGGTGAAGGCCGCAAATTCAAGTTTATTCAGCTTATTATATACAATGGAAATGAAGCCTGTCGGCATTTCCCCTATCGTAGCTGGTCTTGTTTTATTCGAGTTTTCCTCTAGGCTGTAATTAGGGTTGATGTATTCTGTACTCTATAACACCAATTTTATTATGTCTCGAATGGGCTCCAGTTTCAGATGGTTTGTTTAGGGGTGAGCCGATTTGACTATGTTTGCACTAGAGAACGCAAAGTCTCGTTCAAAACCGCACTGCGATTTGTACCCACGGATTCTCCGAGTAAAGTTTATTGCGTTGAAAACATCATCATTTGAGCTTCCACAAACTAAGATTCACAGGAGGTATGTCACAAATTTCCTATTTCGGTTCTAAGCCTGCGTGTCATTTGGCGCAATGAACATTTTCTCAAGGCACTTTAGCACCAGATGACAATTGTCTGATAATAAACAATAGTTATAAAAGTCCGAGCTGTTTACCTCTAATATAAGACAACCTAACAACGTTGAATAATACCGCTACTGATAACCACCAGTGACCAAGATCTAGTGGTTCCACTCGTTGTTCATGAATAAAAAAAGATCACTGCAGCTGCACTGCTTGCTTGAATTGACAGTTTTACAGTTACTTGAACGGAGTACGACGCTATACATTTTAAAGTAAGTCCGTTGTGAACAAGTTATCTATGCATGTACTAGGAGATGTGTGTACTTGATCACCAATACTGGATGTGAAATTCGAAATATTTATGTGTGTCACGCAGTAGAGCTCCTTTTTTTGTTCGGCCTGCAATCGATATAGATTAAGTGTGAAGTAACACGCATCAAGCTAATGATGATATATCCAGAACGAACCGGTGTTATCATTCTGCAAAAACAAAGCCGGCTGCATAATTGAGTTCAGACGTACGCCGCTAATTTGGCAGTAAAACAAGAAAAACGTCAGAATAAGGACACAGCAACGGCAAAATAGAAGGACCGACTAGGAACTTTGACAGATAGGGCTCTGCCGAGAAGAAATTCACCGTTCCGGTCCTTTCAGATGAAAAACAGCTATTTACAGATTCTTATAAAAAAGAAAACATTGTTGTCCAATAACAATATTACAAAAGAAACTTAATGTAACGTAGTGCAGCTAACTGATCCTCTACTGGGTACATTCGTAAAAGGTAGTATTGTTTTGTTAATATTATTACTATATATAATCTGTATTGAACGGGCGTCGTTATCCAATTTGTATGGCGACAAAAAGCAATTTCCCCCATGGACAGCCACGCTGATGCCTCTATTCATCTTGTTTGTGATACCGAATACATACATCGGATGCTGACCACCACCATGTTAGTTTTCTTAACGAATGCTATGCAGATAGACAAATTTAACCCAGAACCTAAGTTATCTCATTTCTTGCAATCATCCCTTGACAGCAATATAATTATGCCGTTTCTATGTTGGCGCTGGCCTGTGCCCAGCCCGAAATTCATCGGCTCTATCAAAGTGAAAATCAATACTTGGTTTTTAAGACACTCCAAAGCATTGGGCTTCTCGAGAGGCCAAGTTCGTAAGCGTAAGAGCATGATATTTAAGAAATGCTAGCTCCGTTTATTGACAAACAGTCGAATTCGATAAATAACAATAGTAAAAAACTTATTTAACGCCTGTTGTGTACAGGCCGAACAATTTAAAACAACTCTCGTAAGTTGGATGTTTCACAAACTCTTAGGCAATACCTCAAAGATCATTTTTTCGCCCATTTTTACATTAGAATATATGCAAAAGTTAAAATTAATACTTTGTTTTTCGTTGTTGTCAAACCTATAGACAAAATCTGTTGGGCTGATGCAAGTGTAAATGTTAACATAGATATACACGTATAAATTATTAGCCGCTGAAGAGCTGACGGTTACTATTAACATTGTTTTCAATACTAAGGCCGAGTGGTGACAGCCGCTACCTGATAGGCAACAACGCTATACATGTACCGCGTCCGCCCGCTTTCATCTATGAGAAATCCCTCGTAATAGATAAAAATTGCAACTAAAATTGAGAAAAATTTACGTTTTTAACATACCCATCCATTTTTCGTGCGTATACGTAATCCACGCTAAGTATACACCAGAAGCATTGTCTACCACCGTCCTGGTATTTTCCTGATCTTATTTAAAGCCTAGATTTAAATTTGAAATTCACTCAGGCCTGTCCGATTGTTGTATTACTTAATTACATAATACCCGTTAGCTTGCTACAGTTATTCGTACTTTTTTAGTGCTCCGATTCATCTTGTCTTCTACCCTGTATTTGAGTCTTCCCTGTATGTCAGCTTAGGTGCTCGTAATTGTATCGTACTGTCTTCAATATGTACATTGCTCTATGCGCAACATTATTTTTCTCTGACTGATATTCCGATATTGTATTTAGTCACCCTGTAACTCTTAAATAACTGTCGGATTCTTTTGGGTTAATTGTCGTCCTCTTCCACTACGTTATCACAACTTGTCACCCGTTACGATTATTCGGCTATGACACGGGGAAACACATCTTAACATTTACAAGTACTACGTATATACTAGGCTGCTAAAAAAAAAAACAAAAAAAAAGTAAGAAACTAAGCAATGTAGAAGCGTTATGTCTATGTTGGGAAATTTTGAACGCCGAAAGACCCAACCTTTATGCCCACCGATCGATGCTTCGAAGACGGCTAGAATGTTCCACAAGTGTTCCGACACAGCACTTTTTTTTTTTTCTCTAGTTTGCAGTGGATAGGGAGGGCTCTACAAGATGGTATTCCTAGCTTGTTTAGGGACGTTTGGCTTATTAATAGCTCAAAACCTATTTCCGTCAGAAGCTTTTGTGACGCTATTAACCAAGCATCAGACCAGATCGCAGAATGGTAGGACTGCAGCCTGCTAACGCGAGATCTGAGAAGGATAGTTGCACACTAAGTATTCGAATCGCTAGAGTACCGGGGCCAGGAGTGCCTCAAAACATTTAGTATCGATTAGATACGTCAATGCCGTTCAGTAGTACTACTACTGCTATTTATTTGGCGGTTGATCTTTTGCTGTAAGAGCATCTTTGCATTGTCGCTATGCTGACTCAATTTGACGTACCGATACGCTCATAAAGTGGCCCCATTAACAGCGATACTGTAACCGTATTCATTGAACTGCAAATTGACTCACTTCTCCGGCTGGGCTGTAAAGAAGGGATGATTTTTCCCACTCGGCCTTACATTGGGATGCTTTATTAATGAAGATGAAGGCATTGACTACGTTTACTTCGGCAGCCCTATCGACATGAGAGCTGTCGACCGAATTTGCCTTTCAAGTAAAATGATTCATTTTTTTTTAAGTAGATCTTGCTATAGGTAGTGTACCGGTTGTCGGTTCAAATTAATTCAATTAGACTTATAATTGCGTTTTCCTACTGAGTAAATACAGTTGACCGTCTGTGGCAATGCTTAACGCATATACTTGGCGTAGACCTCAACACATTTATTAGATTAAAAATCTCAATTTTACCCTTTGTAGATAACGTTTGTTAATGTTGGCTCAAGCTTGGTATACTAGATGACAGCCTGTTTACTCATTCATTGAAAACAGTCAAGTCGAATTACGATAGATACAGTTGCGCTTTAGCTATCTATCTTAGTAGAATATTAACGGATTTTACCAACTAAGGCGATAGTATATTATTCTGGCTAACGACAGTTTCTGCTGTCAGGAAATATTTGAATATTTTCATTCGTACTCAATAAAATTACTAATTATCTATTACTTCTAGAGATACTTTACAACAGCCATTTTGATGACCGATGATATTTTGGAAAGCCGTCCTACGCCGACAGCAGACGACAGTGCGGAGTTTCTAAATAAATATAAGGCCTTTCGAAATTACGCCTGACACGTTGTTTGATCGTGGGTGAATGATATTGTTAGACAATCATTTTTTTCAGCATCCCGCATGACATCAAGGCTTACTTTGCAGAACTGTTCGGGTCGATAGGGTGCGAAGTTCTGGTTACGGTTGGTGTATGGGGTCCTTTCTTCTACTGCCAATGGCCAAGCGGGACATCGTACGCTGCCGCTACGAGGTTTGTAATTTTGGCGAATGAAACATATTTGGACCTTCAGACGTCTTAACTGCGAGTTCACAATATGGCTATTTCGGGTGAAAGCACACATGTGCAAATCACACCTCATGTGCTCGTGAAATACTCGTCCGCCGAGGCGCATCGCCAGGAGCGCTGCCTGATTTGGCGTTAAGCGAGCCTAAAAGTAATAGGGTTAGTTTCGGCCTGTAAAACCAAACTGTAACTATGGGACCAAGATTCTAATCGGCTTTTAAAGATCTGCACGTAAATCATGGTTTTACGAAATGAGTTTCTTTAGTCTTGTTTGAATGAGGCAGGTAGTGGCATTTGCTTACTTTTTAGCAATTTTTGGTGCCTAAAACGACAAATTGAATTTTAACGATAAATCTGAAAGGCCCCATTATGATTCCTGTCATCAATGTATACGCACGCTATCCCTTTGGGATCATTATTATGCGTCTATAATATTTGAAGCAACGCTTTCAGCGTTCAGGTTTGTTTTCAGTAATCATTTGAAAGTTCTCGATACACGGTTTTTGACTCCGCTACTAACGTAGCTAAGGTCTGTCATGATCATAGGAACGATTATATTTTGATATATTTGACAAACTAAAAGATTACGCGCCACCAATTAAATGCCCTAAACAATTGCGTTGTGATGCTTGATGTCATAAGGGTTTAATGCTATGTTTTATGTATGTAGTAAATAGACCGGCCGTTGGTATGAGGCTTCATATACAATCGCAATAAATATAGCATGCTGCTTATTCATTCCCCTTTTTTTGATATACAATTATATGCGTAGATCTTGGTATAGGAGTCAATGTTTAACAATAATTATGCAGAAGTTTTGTGTATTGATACCGTAATGTCCTTAGTTTTGGTCAAAGAGCAGACGCTTTTTAGTTTTTAGGATTAGAAATTTCGTACGACTGAGCGTCGTAACCATTATAAAGTATTACGAGGAATAAGAAGTACTGCGAAATTTGGTCGATGATCCTGTGGATTTCAAATACTGCGTTTCAATGCGTAGTGGCACCTAAATTAGAAATCTGCTTGGTGTTATATAGGATTAAATAAAAGCGTTGTCCACATTGTTTCATTGCAGCGGTGAATTATTACTATTATTATAATAGCGTAAGATTTATTACAAGCTAAGTTATGTTCTTCGCTCAATCAGTTTTTTATGATTATCATTTACTAGAAGACATTGACTTAAAAGATAAAGAATACTTAACATAGTCACCAATCATTTGAGGAACGCTGAGTCTACGATCATTTTGCATAAATAATTCTTTACGTACATTGACATTTGACGGGGCCAAGCCAAAGTATGGCCTATACGCATCGGCTTGTGACCTCCAAGTAAATCAAAAGCTCCAACGTCTAGCAAAAAAAAAATGCACATTGCTATACCTTCCAGATACCGAAGCTTATCTCAGTTAAAAAAAAAAAAGTTAACCTATCGAATTTCTTCACTTTCCCAGTAATCGGTAGAAATGTAAGCGACAAAACAATCCGCATATTATTGTACACAATTTACGGGTTTTACCATCTACTGTGCGCGTCTCTAAGATACAATGAAACAGACGATGAGTATAAATCTTTTAATGCTAAATTTTACGCCATTATTTGTAACGAAGTTTTATCTATGAACCGACTGGCAAACTTGAACTTTAAAAATCTCTCTATATATAGTATATACACCCTTATATTAGTCCTTTGTATCCGTATTTATAGTAGTCGATATAATCGACGTAATTTATGCGGAACGAAACTGACTTAACTGTTGCTTTGAGATTTGTTGTTACCGAAGGAAAGGCCCATACGAGAAAGGCCTTACTAAATTACGTAGAGAAGAAGGCTTCGCTTTTCATAGAAAGTCGTTACAATTGTTCCAAGAAGATAAGTGCGCTTCTATAAGCCTAGAAATAATTACCTAAAAAAAGTTTTTTTAAAAGGATGAGAGCAGTTCTCCTAACACTTGCTTTGGCTTTCCTCGTGACAAAAAGTAAAGTAGATATTTCGATTCTAATAAATTACAGAAGTGACTGAGAGAATGACTTAAAGGGATGGAAGGCTGGACTCGAGCGATAACGACATGTTAACAGAGGTTACCTTCTATAACTATTTTCCGAAAGTCATCGTTTTCGTAATACAATAAATTCAATTCCAGAGCTTTTTCTCTCAATCTATCTTGAAAACGCTGTAAAACGTTCTAAAAAAAATCTACAATTAGGATGAACTGAAAAATGACATCCAGTTTCATTTTCATGTTTATCATATACATATTTGTATTTGATTTAATTCTTCACATTAATAAAAAAGATATTTTGTGCATCAAGAGAAAAACACCGAATATTTGTTTTAAGGGGCTGAAGACATAAAACGAGTTTTTGCTTCTTAAGTTTTAAAGGACAATCGAGCCTTCTCCGTTTACATATTTGTATTTTTCCAGAGCTGCTCAGTTAACGCGAATAGCTTTCTGTCAGCATCAACAGGACCTAAGTTTCGCTTTTTAATACCGCTTCTTATCATTACCGTTCTAATGTTCACCGCGCACGTGTACGTTGTCAGCGTCGGTTTCCATTAGCTTCTGTTAGTTTTTTTGTAGGTGGTGCCTTATTTTTTTTCTTTAGCTGGATAATAAATACTTTTTATACATATATTTACACGCGTGGCATAGCTTTGATGACAGGAATATTTATA